ATGAGAAGATGGAGAGCCAGACAGGTTTCGTACATTGCCCAGGGTCCTGTCGCTAGAAGGGGCAGGCTGGGATTAGAGCCAGCCAGGCTGATTTCAAAGGTGCTTAATCTTGGTGTGGGCCACACCCTTTGTGAATGGGCGCCCACCTTCGGAGCTGATCCAGGAGAACTTGTGACCCTGGTTCTTAGCTCCTCTGCAGTTCTGGGGACAGCCCACCATTCAGTGCCTGGGCTGATTCCTCAGGTGCCCCACATCTCCCCTGGGGGCCGCTCTGCCCACTGGCATCCAGGGCCTGCTGCTCTAATGTACCCATGGTCTGGTGACCTGGGCACTGTCCTGCTCCTCAAGCCCCCAGGGGCCTCCTCTGCCTCTCCCTGGTCCCTTGCCACCAGGAAGCTCGTTCAACTTGGCCTCTTGTCTTCTGTCAGCTCCTGAGATGGTAAAGGGAGACCCCATCGGCTCTGCCACGGACATCTGGGGAGTGGGTGTGCTCACTTACATCATGTGAGTGCCCCCAGGACCCACCCTCTGCCTGTACCCTCCCCCCCCACCTCCCCAGCCACACATGCATGTGCACACTCGTGCACGCACACACACACACACGCACATACACACACGAGTACCCAGGTGCGGGTAGCCTTGTGTCCGAGCGCTGTGCCCCTAAGAACCTCCACACTAACGTCCCCCTGGACCTGTGAGTTGACCCTCAGTCTGCATCTGTCAACTGAACTGTCTCCTCCACAGGCTCAGTGGACGCTCCCCGTTCTATGAGCCAGACCCCCAGGAAACGGAGTCTCGCATTGTGGGGGGCCGCTTTGATGCCTTCCAGCTGTACCCCAACACGTCCCAGAGCGCCACCCTTTTCTTGCGAAAGGTCCTCTCAGTACATCCCTGGTGAGTGGGTCCCACACCTGCCAACCTCCCAGCATTACGTGCCTCTGGCCTCAGGCTGCCCTGGCCCAGCCCATGCCTAAGTCCCCACCTCCTCCCCCGCCCCAGTAATACACTGCTGCTGCTGCTGCTACTACTTTTCCTACTCCTACTCCTCCTAAGTGGCTGCACTACCACCATTTAAAGCCCGTAACAGGGGCTTCCCTGGTGGCTCAGTGGTTGAGAGTCTGCCTGCCGATGCAGGGGACACGGGTTCGTGCCCCGGTCTGGGAAGATCCCACATGCCACGGAGCGGCTGGGCCTGTGAGCCATGGCCACTAAGCCTGCGTGTCCAGAGCCTGTGCTCCGCAATGGGAGAGGCCACAACAGTGAGAGGCCCGCGTACTGCAAAAAAAACAAACAAAAAAAAAGCCCATAACAGCCCTATGATGTAGGCAGAATCACTGTCCCCATTTCAGAGACTGGGAAGCTGAGTCCCAGAGTTGTCTAAGCTCACTCACTAGGGGCAAAGCCCTCTGGGAGGGTGGGGCCCCCTCCCTGCTCTGGGAGCCGTGCCTGCAGGCTCACTGTCCCTGGCTTCCCCTGGCAGGAGCCGGCCCTCCCTGCAGGACTGCCTAGCCCACCCATGGCTGCAGGACGCCTACCTGATGAAGCTGCGCCGCCAGACGCTCACCTTCACCACCAGCCGGCTCAAGGAGTTCCTGGGCGAGCAGCTACGCCGCCGGGCCGAGGCTGCCACCCGTCACAAGGTGCTGCTCCGCTCCTACCCAGGCAGCCCCTAGTGGCTCGGACCACAGCCCGGCCTCGGGCTTCGACTCGGGGTTCCTGCTGACGCCCCCTGGACATTCCAGGGCCCACGCTGAGCCGGGTGGGCCCGGGGCTTTGGACACCAGCAGCAGCAACATCCGGCCGGGCTATTACCTCATGGACCTGCGGGGACAGAGACCCCGGGCTTTGGCCAATGCCACCCGGCCAGAGCCAGAGTGGGAGACCCGTTGTCCAGGCCTGGTGGGGTCAGGAACAGGAAGAGGGGCAAGAAGGGAATGGGCAAGTGACGAGGAAAAGAAGATGAGGAATAGGGAATGGGAGACTCTCGGAAGGTTCTTGGGGAGGGAGACAGTGCATCTGCGGGAGAACCAACCCAGGAGGGTGGGAGTGGCTGAAGAGGAGGAAAAGCGGGAGACCAGGCTGTCTACAGGCCATGGGCTGGGAGTGTCAGTGAAGCAGGAACAGAACATGTAGATGGTGCCAGGAAGCCAGAGCCAGTATGTGAGAGAGGGCAGTGAGGTGGGGGAGGGAGAGGAGAGCCGACTCAGGTGGGGCTGGGGTGGCCAGCTGCCAGCACCCCCAGAAGGAGAAGCATGGAGGGCTGGAGGCTGGAAGTGGTGGTCTCTTGAGCCAGCGCTCTCCTCCTGTCCCAGTGGATGCAGCTCTGGGCACTGTGCTGGCCCGAGGATGTTCTCATCACCTCTCCGTGGCCTTCGCCCCTCTGCCCATTAATATTTATTTATTTATTGACTTTTATGAAGTCTCTCTGCCATCCAATCCCTACCGCCTATGTTGTCCTGACCATCCCCGAAGCCATTCAGCTGTCTGTGCAGCTGTCTGTCTGTCTGTCTGTCACAAGGAAAATAAAAATGGCAAGCAGCAGGACCTATGTGTGTGGTCTATGGGGAGGGATGGCTAGGGGTACGGGGGGTGCACGATGCTGGGGGTACGGGGACAGGGGCATTCCAGCCTTCTCCGGGCCAGTGAGAGCCAAGGTATACTAGCTATAGCACTTGGGACCTTCCTACCCCACCCCTTGACCCTCCTGGCCCCTCACGTCTCCCTTATTCCTAGAGGGAGGAAAGATGTAGGTCTGTATCTCCATCTAAAGTTTCTGGAATCCTGGCAGGACCACTGAATCCCCACCACCGCCCTCTAACCAGACTGGCGGCCCCCACCTCTTCTCACATGTTCCATCATCACAACTGGGAGGACGCTGGGCTCTGGAATAGACCACCCCACACCCCAATCCAGGCTCAGCCTTCTGCACTCTGCCCAGGAGACAGGGCAGCCCTGGTCCTGACCCCTGGGGCAGAGGGGGTTTCATCATGATGATTGGTCAGAGCAGGATGTGTAAAGAGCTCTAGAGGAAACCAGGACAGGCCCACGTGCCCACGCTCTCAGTGTTGGAGCACCGATCTGGACACATGGGGTACCAGCAGCACAGGGCAGCTGTGAGCGCTCTGGTTGGCGTGTCTGCTGTGATGGGGCTGTAGACGAGCATTTTCCTAGGGCCCAGGGACACTCAGTCTGGACCTTCTTAGTCCCATGGCAAGCCAGGGTTCCGCTGGGGCTAAGGGGCCTTGACTCTAAGCGCCCCCTGCGGTGCCACGGAAGGGTCACTGGGCCCTATAACTGAGCTGCCCTGCCCTGAGGTGGGGGGAGGGGAAGCCAGTTCTTGTGTCCAGAGGGACTTTTCCCCACGCCCCTCCTCCCATTGCAACTCTGCTCTTGGCAATGTAAAAGGAATAAAGGCTTTCACCATGAGCAGAGGGACCTGGTGCTGGTGTGTTGCTGATTGAGGTTGAGGGCCTCTTGGATGTAGCCCAAGCAACCCTTTGCCCAGCCCACCCCAGTCTCTCTGGCTTCCCAGGACCCCAGGGAAGAGGCAAGGCCCACCATCATAAAATAAGAGGATATTAAAGCCAGCTGGAGAGGCCAGAGGGACACCTTTCCCACCTGCCATTTTAGCGATGAAGATATGCAGTTTGCCTGTGAGAAGCTCTAATCCCCTACACACTGCAAATGTTTTCATATAAAAATCAGGTGCCTGAACTCATATCTTGATAAATGGTAAAATTCTCCTCCCCTCTCTGATGTTGAGCTTCCTTCTCATCTCCATTGGAAATGGCATGTGAACTGCTTGTTCCAAACCCGGAGGAGCAAAAGTAATTTATGTCAGCAGAGCCATGTCAAAATTGCTCTGATCAAAAGGTGACAGCGCTCCAGACCTGGGCAGGCAGTTACAAGGAATAGAAGCAAGGCTTACCTGGTGTCCTGGTCTGGGCAGACTGGACTCCAGGCAAGTCTCAGAGGGATTAACCCCTTCATCCCAGGTGCTCTGATGCCCCTATGCACCAGCTGATGCCCAGAGAGGGAGCTTGGCTTGGGCAGACCTAGAGTTTTAGAGTCAGTATTAGTGCCAATCTCCAGGGACAGTGTAGCCCAGCCTGACCGACCATGTCACATGGAGGGGAGTGAGTGGGAATGGGGTGGCAGGAGAGGATGCTGTTCCCCAAAGTCTTTAAGGTCCCCTCTAGGTTTATCTCAGTTTACCACCAGGAAGCACAGTGTGGAAACGACAACCCTAGACTCCTGGGGTGGGGGGAGTAAGGCGCTTCCGGATTGGTTCTGACTGCCACGTGACCCTCTCATAATTGGCTAGATGGACAGTGAAGTCCATCGCTATTCTGGCTTCAGTCAAGGGCACCTCCACAAACACTCGCACCCCTTCACTGACTGTGTCCAGGAAGGACACGTTGTCCCACTGTCCAGGGACTGACCTGAGTATAAACTACCCCAGCAAGGAGCTGAGTCTCTTGTCGACCTGAGGCCTTGTCTGTTCCTCCTGGGAGTGGGATGGCTACCTCCTGCTCTGGGAGGGCATGGGGCCACATCCAGCTGCCCAGCTGTCAGGGCGCTGACGTGTGAGGCACCCCAGAGCCGCTCAGGTTTCCCCCCGGGGCTGCCCCTGTGGCTGAGTTAGCATCCCAGGCATTCTCAGGCTAAATAAGGAGCCTGTCTGGGTCAGGGGGCGGGGGCTGGGGTCCCCAGGGGCTTGGGGCAACCACGCCAAACAAGGCAAGGAGAGGAGAGATGTATAAAACCTGGGCCTGGGGCTGAGCACCTGCCCGTGCCCTTGCTGTGCCATCTGGAAGGGCTCCGAGCCTCCTGCTACACAGCCAGTGGACCCGAGTCCCGAAGTCAACCCCTTACGGTGAGTTCAGATCCTCAAGTCAGCCCTAGACACTCCCACGTCAGGAGATGTTCTGAATCTGCAGGGAAAGGGCTGAAGTTTGGAGTCTCTGTCAGCCTAGACCCCTTTGTTTTCTGTTCTCCAGATGTCCAAAGCAGCTCCTGCCAAAAAACGAGTGGCTGCAGCCCCGCCTCCAGGATGTACCCTGGATATCAAGGACCCCCAGGTCCAGAGGGCGGCCATTCGCATCCAGGCCTCTTACCGGGGCCACAGGTGAGGGGGAGCCCTGGAGAACCTCTGGAGGAAGGGAGCTGGAGCTGCAGAACGCTCATGACTGCATTTGGGGGATGGATGGGGGCTGAGCACAGTGTCATGGACCACTAGGGTCACTGGACTTAGGGGAGAGCAGTTACTGAGGTGCGGAAGGGTGGCTGACACAGAGTAGACAATTTTATTAGGGTAACAATTCAGTAGCCATCACCTTCCCTACCCACCCCCATGTTTAAGGGTCTAGTGGGCTGAGGGGGTGGGCAGGGGACGGTGTACGGATGGACAGGGCTGCAGGCCGGCCGGGGCCGTGTCATGGGAGCTCTGGGCCCTGACCTGGGCTGCGGGTAGGTCCCGGAAGGAGCTGCGCGAGAAGGGGCCGCCGCGAGTGCTGGAGCCACTGAAGGATGTGGTGCTGATTGAGGGCAGCGCGGCTAAGCTGACTTGCCGCATTTCGGCTTTCCCGGACCCATTCATCCGCTGGAGCAAGGACGGCAAGGAGCTGCGCGACGGGCCCAAGTATCGCTATGTCTTCGAGGACCCCGACGTAGTCGCACTGGTGGTGCGCGACGGCGAGCTGGCAGATCTAGGCCAGTACAGCATCAACGTAACCAACCCCTTCGGCCAGTGCTCCGACTCCGCACGCATCCTCGTGGAAGGTACGCGCGCCCTGGGTGCAGGGCCACCGTACAGAGCAGCACCGCACAGCGGGCGGCCGCAGCCGGCTCCAGCCGCGTTTACCTCTGAGCCTTGCCGAGTCCGGATGCGGATGTGACCCAGCCCCGGCACAGCCTAAGGCACGGAACAGGGCGCAGCGCCGGCCGCGCGTAGTCCTTTCCTACCCCAGAATTGTGTCCCATACAGTCTAAGAAGTCCGTTATGGGCTTCAGTCACTCGATTCCAGGGCCTCAAGGTCACAGCGAGCCAGAAGCAGAGCCAGGGTTAGAGCCCTGGTCTGGCTCTCAGCCCAGGGCAATTTCCAAGGCGCCGGGAGATGTGTGAACATTCCCGGACTTTCCCCCCTAGAATCTCTTTTGATCCTCCCTTCACCTCTGCGAAGGGCAGGGTTAGTCCCGTTTGACAGTTGACGAGATGATGCCCCAGAGAGGCTAAAGACTTGCTCAACGTCACACAGAGAGCTTAAATCCATCTCCTATTTAGAGCCGGGTATTAGCTGGGGAGGTGATGCCCCTGCCCGCCTCACCTCTAGGTTCCTCACTGGGTGGCCCTTTCCCTTCCTCTAGTACCGGCGAAGATTCAGAAGGGACCGAGTAACACTAAGGCGCGCAAAGGCACCACGGTAACGCTGACTGCCGAGATCATGGGCGAGCCTGCGCCCGACGTGGGCTGGACCAAGGACGGGGAAGACATCGATGAGGACGACAGGTGTGGGGGGGGCGGGGCTTGTAGCAAGGACAGCGCCTGGAGCAGGAGCTTGGGCGGGCGGGGTCCAGAAACTGGAGGGAGTGGGATGGGGGCGGGGAATTTGGGAGGCGAAGAACAGAGCTGGATAGTTAGCCCGACCCGACCAGGGCGCGCGTAAACTGACCGCAGGCCCTGTCCTCCCCTTCTTCCCACCTAGAGTGTTCTTCGAGATCGGCAGTACCACCACGACGCTGACTATCCGCCGGGCCACGCCTGAGGACAGCGGCAAGTACGAGGTGTACGTGGAGAACAGCCTGGGCATGGACCAGAGCTTCGCTCGCGTGGACGTGGCCTGAAAGGGACCCTCAGACACTTCACCCTGGCTGGAGCCCCGGGTGGGTGGGACAGACAACCCTCCTTCATCTTGCTTAATAAAGCTGCTCTCGCTGACCCTCCGCGTCTATTCGGTTCTTTTGAGACGCCATTTCCCCTGCATTTGCACCCACGCTTTATTCCCAGACCTACACCCCGAGGTCACAGAATGTTGAGGTCAGAATGTTTGGGGAGTGCCTAGTCCAGTGCTTCATTCTGCAGACAGTAAATCTGAGATAGAACTTCTCTCACGGTCAGAAGTTCCTTCACTTCCCAGACAGACTGGCAGAGGAGTCTACGACTCCGCCTTCTCTTCTTTTGTATGCCTCAAGCCCCACCCTCTCCTGGGGGTTTGCACTCTGGGCCCTCCCATTTCAAGGCTGGCCACACACCCCTCAGGACTCTAGCCTCGCTCTTCCCTGTGACCCGGCTCTAGGCTTTGGCTGGTACCCCTGGGCCCTTTCCTAGACAATTTAGGTCCTAATCTTAAATTCCAACCTCTGCTTCTCAGGCGCCATCCCTCTTATTTATAGCCGCCCCTAGATTCCTTGGCCACGCCCCCGTACTTTCCCATAAATCCACCTCCTCCCTCGGTTAGAAAGCAAGGAGATAGTAAGAACTACAATTCCCGGCAGACTCCGCGAAGGAGTTCTCGCGACTTGCGCGAAGACACGTGCGCGGAAGGAGCAAGCAGTAGTGGGCGACAGATCTGGCAAAAGGGAACTAATGGTAAAGGGAGCCAGTGGTAAAGGGACCAGGTGGAGGGGTGGTGTAAGGGGTAGGGGGCAGAGGACGGACGGTAGACCGAGAGAGGCTCGGAGGCCTCGGCTGGCTCTCCGCACTTCCGCTCTTGTGTTGGTTCCACAACCCCTGGCTACGTGAGGCGTAGTAGTTGTGGGGTTCAGAGGGTCAGCAATCAGTTCTCCGAATCCAGAGATTCAGTACTTGTCGTCAGTATCGGTACTCAGGGCTTGGTAGGTTCGGTGTTTGGGATGCTAAAGGAATCTGTCTTTTGAGTCAGGGTCCATCACCTAGAGATTGGTTTTAGGATTCAGGTTCAGCCTATGTAGTTTTTTTTTGCTAGGATTTGGGATGCATCAGATGCGGATCAGTATTAGTTCAGTACTTGGGATTCATTCTTAGGATTGTAGTTAAATATTTGGGGCTCACTCAGGGTCTGGGGTTCAGTATTCAGGCTTCACTATTGGGGTTCAGGGCTTAACATCTAGAGTGAGGATGCAACAATTGGGAATCGGTGGGTTTGGGGTTTCGGTTTTTTGAGGTTTGGGGTCTGAGAAGGGCTTCTCTTGCTGAGTTTCTGAGTTTGCTGAATTTGTGGCCAGAGGGAGGTCTGTTAGGGGTCAAATTGTGGGGTGTGAATTTCAGAATTTGGGTGAAATCCCTGTGGGATTTGAAGACTGCCTGGAGGCTGGGCTAGGATTTGAGTTGTGTGGGATTTGTGAGGTGTTGTGCCCGGGGCAGGTCTATATTGAACTTCGGATTTACATCCTCCGAGGGGACTAAGTGTTGCTATTTGGGTTTTGGGGGCTTGGTTGGGGTATGAGTCAGGTTCCTGGGTTGGGGTGTGAGATCTAAGCCTGACTTCTCTGTTGGGATTTGAGGTTTAGGTAGCAGTCGCCATCATGCTCAAAGCTGTGATCCTGATTGGAGGCCCTCAAAAGGGTGAGGAGCCAGGGGAATTGGGGGAGGAGGTTGGGCTGGAGTGGTCGGTGGGGTGGGGACAGAGGGAGGCAGGAAGCTGAAATGTGCTTCTTTCTCCTCTCCCAGGGACTCGCTTCAGGCCTTTGTCCTTTGAGGTGCCCAAACCACTCTTTCCTGTGGCGGGGGTCCCTATGATCCAGCACCACATTGAGGCTTGTGCCCAGGTAACCCCATAGGCTCCCCTCTCCCACCTCACTTCCTGCTCATCTCCTTCTTGCTGTATTTCCCCCTTTTCCAACCATGACCTTCCCACAGGGACCACCATTTACAAGTGAAAATGTGAATGTCGCCCCCTGGAGTTGTGCGGTACAACTGCTCTGCTGTCTTCCTCTAACCTAGTGTCTCCTCTGGCCTCCTGCTCAGATTGCACTCCTGTTTATTTTTAAAGCATGGAATGTGAGATCAGGCAACACTCTTAGAGACAATTTAACACTGCAGCAGGGGGAACCTTAATGATAGCAAAGCACAGGACTCATACCTTTGCTCATTGTGGAGCTAATTTCTTTATTGCTTTTGGTATTGAGGCAGGCATGGTTTTATTTGAATCCAGTCTCTGCCTCCTATAAGGACTTGAGAGCACATTTCCCATCCTTTCTGAGCCTTAGTTTCCTTATTTGTAAAATGGAGGTGATTAGACCTGCTTTGCGGGGTGGCAAAGCTTGCAATGATGTTTGTAAAGTGCCTTGTACAATGTAGGCGCCTGATAAATTATATCCTCATCTCAAGCTCAGATTGACACATAATAAATATGGGGGGAAAATTATGGGTTATTCTTTTTTTTTTTTTTTTTTTTTTTTGCGGTACACAGGCCTCTCACTGTTGTGGCCTCTCCCGTTGTGGAGCACAGGCTCCGGACGCAAAGGCTCAGCGGCCATAGGCTCACGGGCCCAGCCGCTCCACGGCATGTGGGATCTTCCCGGACCGGGGCACGAACCCGTGTCCCCTGCATCGGCAGGCAGACTCTCAACCACTGCGCCACCAGGGAAGCCCTATGGGTTATTCTTTAACGCAGCTTGGTAGGCAAAATCTTCCCTAGGGTGAGCCCCAATTAAGATGTGAGGGGGCAGGGGATAATAGAATAATAAAAGGTTAAAAGGTCAGGGACTGAGACTTCCTCCAACTTCCTCATTGTCCAGAGGAGAAAACGGGCCAGAGTGGGAAAGTGAGTGCCCAGGGGCCCCATAGCTGAGAATGAAACTGGTCTCTCCAGACTTATGGGCCAGTCCCAGGGATTTCTCCCTCCTATCAGATATTTTTTTCTTCCAACCTCTTCCCTTGTCCCCAGGTCGCTGGGATGCAGGAGATTCTGCTCATTGGCTTCTACCAACCTGATGAGCCCCTTACCCGGTTCCTAGAAGCTGCCCAGCAGGAGTTTAATCTTCCGATCAGGTGTTTGTGCACATATGCTGTATGGGGCTGGGGAGTCAGGGCCTTAAGCCTCTGGTTCTGGGGAGTGGGGTGAGTCAGCATTCGCCAGACTTCACCCTCACACGCTAGGAGGGTTCCTATTTGGGCATCTTTGAATCCCTGAGTATATTGCCTTCTCTGTGGGCCTCGGGCAGGTATAACCCTGGGAACAGGAGTCGTCAGGTGCCCAGGCTCCTGGTATCTGTCTCCTCTGATCTCACTGAGCTGGTCCTGGGGTCCCTGGGGACAGGTACCTGCAAGAATTTGCCCCCCTGGGCACAGGGGGTGGTCTCTACCATTTCCGGGACCAAATTCTGGCTGGAGGCCCCGAAGCCTTCTTCGTGCTCAACGCTGACGTCTGCTCCGACTTCCCCTTGAGCACTATGTTGGACGTCCACAGACACCAGCCGCACCCTTTCTTGCTCCTTGGCACCACGGTGAGGGGGCCAGGGGGGCTGGAGGGTGCAGAGGGGATGATCCAGAAAGGTTTCTGGGATGCAGGATGTCAGGGAGGCAGGGGCAGCCCAGGTGGTGGGATCAGGCATCAGATGTGCCTGAAACCCCAGCAGCGGTGGAGGTGGTGGCGGAGACCCCAAGCCCTTTGGCTGCTCAGCAGTAGGGAGCGGGCGAGGAGTGGCGGCAGCTGTCAGTTCTCACCCTTGCTGAAGCCCTGTCCACAGCAGCAGAGATGCATGCCAGGTGTTATAGGAGAGGGAAAGAAAGAAAGAGAAAACAGACCTTGCTGCCGTGGAGCTGGCAGGTCACTGTCTCGGTGTGTCTGTCTTTCAGGCTAACAGGACACAATCCCTCAACTATGGCTGCATCGTAGAGAATCCACAGACGCATGAGGTGAGAGCAGGGAGGGGGCTGGCTGGGCGCTTGCTCTGTGTATCATCATTCCCACTCCGCCTCTGGAGAATGCTGGAATGCTTTGGGATGGGCCCCAGTCTTCTCAGGCAGGTGGGGCATACCCTCAGTTCATCCTATATCCCTTCTAGAGAGATCGTTGAGAGTGAAGGGGTAACAGTGGATGAATGATCAGGGTGCTATGAGAGCACAAAAGGAGGCCCAACCCAGCCTTGTCTGGGTGGGGGAGGGGAGGGCTCCCTAGAGAAGGCAAGGTCTGAGCTGAGTTTTCGATTTGTTTAGATGACGGAGACAGGAAGGTATTGCAGGTAGAGGGACCAGCATGTGCAAAGGCCAGGAGGCAGGAAACAGCAGGCCCCCAGAATTATGGAGGGAGGCGCATAATCAGCAAGGCAGAGCGTCTCTGTCCTTGTTTGTGAAGCTCCCTGTCCCTGAGTCTGACTGACTGTCATGCACCCCTTTTATTTGTTCAAGCTTTAGTATTAAAAATACATATAAACACACACACACACACACGAATTTTTTTTTTTTTTAAGTTTTGTGCTAGGCACTAGCTAGGTGTGAGGGAAACACAGCCGAATGACAATCCCTGCTTCTCAGGAACCCTTGGACTAGTGGGAGAGACAGTCAAAAACCAACCATCGCAAATGATACAAGTGCTACCGGTGAGGTGTGGCCAGAGGCCAGGGGTGCCTGGACCTGAGAACCCAACTCTGGGGCAGAGTGGACTCATAGAGGAAGTGACAATGCCAGCTGGGTTTTGAAAGCCGAGTTTTCCAGATGAAGAGATGGGAAGGGACATTTTCGGCGCAGGCGTGCAATAGCATGGAGCCGTGTTCTGGAAGCTCTGGGAGGTGGGGAGGAGAAAGGCCTGTAGTTCAGATTTATCTTGAAGGTGAAGGCCAGCCGCAAGATGCGATGCAGTCTGCATTTTAGGAAGACCACTTCGGCAGCAGGGAGGACCTGGAGGTCAGAGGGTCTTAGGGGGTGATGGCAGTGGCCTCTCCTCCACTGATCCCAGCCCACTGTGTCCTCAGGTCCTGCACTATGTGGAGAAACCCAGCACTTTTGTCAGTGACATCATCAACTGTGGCATCTACCTCTTTTCCCCGGAAGCCCTGAAGCCCCTTCGGGATGTCTTCCAGCGTAATCAGCAGGATGGGCAACTGTGAGGCAGGCCCCGTGGCCCTGAGACCCCAAGTGCCCCCGGTCGCAGACCGCCCCCCCAGTCTCTGCAGGCTCCTTCTCCTGAGCCCCCGCTCACCTTCCTTCCCCTTCTCATCTCTATTTGTCCTCTCCAGCTGAGCCTCCAAGTCCCTCCCTTCCTAACCTCATTCTGTCCCTCTTCTTATCCATCCCAGTTCCTCTTCTGTCACCGCCTGCCCACTCCCCTTCTGGTCCATTTCTCTCAAGCCCTGAGTGTCCCAGAGATGCCTTTTAGAACAGACGGCAACACACACAGTTGGGTGCACACAGGCTTGAGTGAGAGACACACACACACACACACACAGACACACACACACACACACACACTCTCTCTCTCTCTCTCTCTCTCTCTCTCTCTCTCTCTCTCTCTCCCCCCCTCCCTCCCTCTCAGGCTGAGTGCCCCAGAGCCCTGCTGGCCACAAGCCAAAGTCCAGGGTCATCCTCCTAGGCCTGCAACCTGTTCCTTTCTGTGGAGCCCTGCCTTTGCTCCCTCCTCCCCCACCCGTCTCCCCATCTCAAGCCTCATTCATTCATCACCATCTTCTCACTCCCACCCATCTCTCTGCTTCTCTCTCCATTCTCTCCCGGCCTCTCTGTCTGTTTCTGCTGAGCTGGCATCTCCACCATCTCTCTCTTCTCTCTCTTTCTGTGACTGTCTCTGCCCCCACCAGCTGCCTTCCTCTGGGGTGAGTCTGTCTGTGTTTCATTCCATCCAGTGAGTGAGAGGGAGGGTGACCAGAGGCGGGGTTCAGAGGAGTGGATGGGGTGGGGGAGAATGGGAAAAGGGGGAGAAGCCAGGTCTGGTCAAACTCCATGTGGATGTGGGGCAGGATGAGCAGCAGGTCTGTGCATGGGGACACAGACAGCTTAGGGAGGAGAGGAGGTGATGTGTATGCGGGTGATGGGAGAGCTTCCTGGGATGTGAGCATCCTTGTGGAACAGATCTGAGCAGACCTGGAGAGGTGGTGGGATTCACTCTCATTCCTGTCCCCAGGAGACTGCTGGCCCCTGCTTGGGCTCAGCTGGGGAACTGACGTCAGCATCCCTTCCTCTGTGCCAGGGAGGACTCGTCAGGCTTGTGGCCTGGGGCAGGTACCATCCGCCTGGAGCAGGATGTGTTCTCCGCCCTGGCTGGGCAGGGCCAGATCTATGTGCACCTCACTGACGGCATCTGGAGTCAGATCAAGTCTGCAGGGTATGGGAGGGGCCTCTGATGGGGTGGTTGGGTCACCTGGGGGTTGAGACTTTGGGGTGGTGGGCACAGGCCCTGCTGGCCCCTGAGCCCCTGCACCACTTTCTGGCCCCCAGCTCAGCCCTCTATGCTTCCCGCCTCTATCTGAGCCAGTACCAGCTCACTCACCCAGAACGCCTGGCCAAGCACACCCCAGGGGGTCCACGGATTCGAGGTACCCATCCGGCCCCAATTCCTAACCTTTGCCCCCAGCCCAGCCCCCCTCCCCTCTGAGCTGTGACTCCTGACCTTAGATCCAGAGGTGAAGTCTCAGTCCCTGCCCTCCCTGAACCAGATGTGGTTTGGGGTATTTGCCCCCAGGTCCTCTCTTCTGCTTCTAGGAAACGTTTACATCCACCCAACAGCTAAGGTGGCCCCGTCTGCTGTGGTAAGTGATGGCCCAGCCCAGGGGAAGCATGGGTTGGGCAGTGCTCGGAGTAGCGGTCTCTCCACTTTGTCACAGCCTGTCCTATGGCCTCACGCCTTATCTGTTTTATGAGGGGATTGGATTGGGGGCCCTCCAAGGCTATGGTTGTGCTCTTCTCCACAGCTGGGCCCCAACGTCTCCATCGGGGAGGGGGTGACCATGGGCGAGGGTGTGCGGCTCCGAGAGAGCATTGTCCTCCATGGAGCCACACTGCAGGTAGGCACCCAGGCACACACGGCAGCCGTGGCACCCCGAGAGGCTGAGGGGAGGGGTGAGCCCCTTCTCACCCCCTCACCTCACATCGTCCTGTTTGGCAGGAGCACACGTGTGTTCTGCACAGCATCGTGGGCTGGGGGAGCACCATAGGGCGCTGGGCCCGCGTGGAGGGTACCCCCAATGACCCCAATCCCAACGACCCCCGAGCCCACATGGACAGTGAGAGCCTGTTCAAGGATGGGAAGCTGCTCCCTGCTATTACCATCCTAGGTATGCTTCCCAGGGCCCTAGGCTGTGAGAAACCTCCACAGGTGATGGCCATGCCCTGTGGGAGCATTTGTGTGTGTGTGTGTGTTTATTCCTTTAGCAAACATTTACCCAGTGTCTGCTCTATGCCAGGTCCTGTGTGAGTCACAGGGGGCATGAGGCCAGGGCACAGATGGGCAGGGAGGGATCCCTCCCGGATGGCGGTGGCCCCCAGCTCTTTGCCCCTCGCCTCCCCTCCCCACGGCCTCCCCCTGGTGCCCTTGTCCACACTGCAGGCTGCCGCGTCCGGATCCCTGCCGAGGTGCTCATACTGAACTCGATTGTTCTGCCACACAAGGAGCTGAGCCGCAGCTTCACCAACCAGATCATCCTCTGAGGGGGGCTGCCTGAAGTTCCCCCCAGCTCTGATCCGCTCCCCTTGAGGCTCCTGCCTGCATGGCCAGCCTCTGTCCAGGAGGGAGCAGAGGAAGCCAGCCAGGCTCTTCCTGTGCACGCGCACGCGGGGAGCAACGTGGGTGGCCGGGGGACTGGTGGCCTCCCTCTCCACTCCCTAATAAACCCGGGTGAACCTTGGAGCCGGTAAGGACTCCGCTCGTGCCTGGGCTGGGGGGTGAGAGTGGAAGGGGGGCAGCTGACTCAGTCCCCCCCAACATTAGCATTTAAATTGGAGTCGTTGCTTCGGGCTCATGAATAATGAATCTGGAGCCCTGGTAAATCTCCCCCTCCCACTGCCTCAGCCTCTCGCGCTGCTCTGGAGGAAGGCCCTCAAGGCTCCAGCCGGCTGGCCCCCGCCTTCACCCCTACCCCGACGCCGCCTCCCTGTTCCTCTTCGCTGGGCCTCGCTCAGGCTCCAGAGTGGAAGGATTCCGAAGGGAAGCGGGGAGGATTTCGCTTGGGCAGTGGGGTGCGGGCTGGGAGCGCTGGGCCCGAGGTTGGATCCCCCGGAGCCGCCCTCCTCGGGTGCTGCCGAGCCCCGGCCCGGCCTGCTTTCTGCTCTGCCAGCTCCATCTGCTCCCAGCCTGGCTTTTGGCGGGGTCGGGGGTTTCTCTCCCGCCCGAGGCCCCGTATCTGCCTCCTAGTTCCTGGCAGGCAGGGTGGGCCTGAGCTGGTGCCTTTCTCTCCAGAAGCACAGTGGGAGCTACTCCGTTCTGGGAGGGGAGGGGCCCTGGCCACCTCCCACCACCCTGGCTCTGCTCTTTGGGGGGGTCTCAGTCTTCCTTTCATATTCCTGAAGCCCCAGAGATACCCAGCCACCTCTCGTGTTTGCCCACGACCCCCGTGTGCCCCTCCCGGTGTCCCCCTTTCCCCAGCTGTGGGTGCGGAGCTTAGTTGCCAGATGAGCGGGTAATGATGGTAATCTGCTAATTGAGAGGAATCTAATTACCCGAAGAGAATGGGGGGGGCAGGGCATGGGTGGGAGGCAGGAGGGGGTCCTGGCAGCAGGCGGGGTGGCAGGCAGCAGGGTGCTGAGGCCTGGTTATCAGCACCAGGGTCTGGGACAGAGCCCAGGATTTCAGAGCTTCAGGGCTGGGCTGTTAGGAAGATGCACTTTCTCAGGAGCTGGGCTGACGGTGGCCTGGGGATTGGGCTAGGTGTGACCACCCAGCCCCTGGAGGCTCTGCAGGCTGTGTCAGAGCGCGTGTGCATGTGAAACAACCGGGGGTTTTAGCGGTCCTGACCTACAACCTGCCTGGACGCAGCCCTTCTGGTTCCCGTTCCTGGTCCCTCCAGTCTCTGCCTCCAGCCCACACCTTCCGTCACCTCTGTATGGGGTCCGGAGGGGTCTGCAGATGCCTCCTCTGGGCTGGGGTCAACCCCCTGAGGTCAGGGCTGGGAGAGGGGTGGGCTGCAGGGCCAGGGGCTGGGTCCCTTCCTCTCCTCTCCCCAGTCCTGACCCTTCTGTTCCGAGTGGTTGGCAGAAGCCATGGCAGCTTCATCATAAATATGATAATTTAATTATTTTCTCAGCAAAACACCGTGAAATCCAATAAGTCTGTGTCAGGCCCTGGCCCCCGGGACCCCCCCTCCTGGGCCCAGTGGGGGTGGGGACAGGCACTGGACAGGGACGGGGTCAGTGTTTAAAGTTAAGGGGGGCTGGTGAAGCTGAGGTCTCTGTGGAGCCCCCCACCCACCCCACCCCATCCCCGCCACGCGGAGGGCGTTACTGATGTACGCGTGCTCAGGTGGAGCGGGGTCTAAGGAGAGAAGTTCCGATGCCCCCCACTCCTCTCCAGCCTCGTCTGCCCTGGGAGGGCCTAGCATCCCTCCACCTCTGAGGCCACAGCCCAGAGCCCAGGATGTGGGAGTACCCTGTCTCTGGAGGGGAGAGGGCAGGGAGCCCCCTTCACCACCTCTGGGACCTCACTGGCCCTGTAAGGGTAGGAGGGTGCTGGCCCTTCGAGAACAGAGGGAACTGGGGTGGGAAGTAGGGGATGAGGGGGGAGGGATGCGGGGGAGGGGTGCGCTCCTGCCATTAGTGCTTTTTTCGGTTTCCATAAAAAGATTATTCTGTAAAATCAGCGAGGGGGAGCGAGCTGGGGGCCGGGGAGTGGGGGCGGGTCCCTGGCACTGAGCTGGATGGGGTGACAGAGGAGGAGAGCTGGGGACCGACCGGGACTGAGCGTGGAGAGAAATTTGGATGGGCTTCGGGAGCCAGCTAGGGGTAAGAGGCCGAGCCAAGAACGCAGACTGGGGGCAGGCTGGCCAGGATGGGGCGGGGGGAGTGCCAGGGCCCTCATCTCCCTCCTGCCTGGGCCTCCTTCCCACCCCTATCCCCATCCCCTCCCCCTGGCACTTAGCAGCCATCATAGGGGAGCAGATTGCAGCCCCCTCCCCCTCTCCGGGAAGCAGGCACAGCTGGGGCCCTGCCACATCTGCCGCATCAGCACGGAGCACAGCTGGGTGTGCCCAGAGCCGCGCTCCCCAAAACACAAAGTTGGGGCGGGGGCCAAGGAGAGCCCAGACCCCTGAGACAGACGCACTGACACTTCTGCCAACAGACACAGACTCCTCGAGGCGAAGCTACACTCACCACCACACACGCTCCCTCGTGTGCAGAGACAGGAGAACTGACAAACATGCAATTACTCTGCCCCGCCTGCCGCCCCCACCCCTTCCTCCTCCTTCCCTTCCTTCCCTCCAGGCTCCCCTCCACCGCCTTGGCCACCTCTGAACCGCTCTCGCCCTCGTCTGGAGGGAACAGGGGCTTCACCCTCCCCAGGCACACGCTTCTGGGAGGCTTGGAGAACAGGAGAGCAGCGGGTGGTAAGGGGCATCTGAGTCCGAAGCTTGAGCCTGGGGAAGCCAGTCCCCCGCTCCATGCCCATGCCCCTTCCCACAAAGAAACCCCCTCTGAAGCACTGGTCCTTGCCACCCTGGACGTGATGGGGTCTCCATCCCAGGGCGGACTGGCTGGGCACCCTGGAGTGTGGTCAAGGTCCCCGTGACACTCTGTGTTCCACTGGCCGCCTCAAGGAGGTGCTGTACGTCCAAGTTCTAGCCAGAGGTCGGCTCCCAGGGCCGGGCCCTGGCACTCCAGTCCCCAACAACCTGCAGCACCGTCCACTCAGCAACGCACCCCTCTGCTTAGCTTTGCTACCCCAAAAGGCGCAGGGTATGGGGCCTCCGTCGGTGGCGGAAAAGTCCCCCCTCCTCAGCAGGGGTGATCAGGAGTCCCTTCTCCCCGCCTCCACCATCCCGCTTCCCAGGCGATGACCACCTCTGGCCTCTGATTAAATCCTGCCCCTTGGCAGCCCTCGTTTCTCCGCGCTCATCTCCTTGGCCCCGGTGTCTTGCCCTCAACCCTCTCCTCCTGCCTGCCCCCACCCCCGTGTCCCACGCCTCGTCCCCGCCCCTGCCCCTCAGAGCTTTAATCCCTGCTGCTGCTGTGCCGCCTTATCTGCTCTCAGCAGCTTTCCCTGCTGCAAAGCCCTCTCCCCCTCCTTCTCGGGATCTTCTTCCCCCCTCCTTCCCCGGTTCTCTCTTCTCTCTGACCAGCACCCCCTGGCCTGTCTCTGCCTCTCAGGCCCCCCATGATGACTCCTGGCTGACGCCAGATCTGCACCCCAGTGCCCTTTGCTCTCTCTCCAGCCTCAGCCCCGAGGTTGCAGCTGCCCACCCAGTCCCACACTGATCTCCTTCCGCCTCAACCCTCCCCCGCAGGCCCCACAGACTTGGTCAGTTTCTGACCAGCCAAGATTTTCCATCTTTCTTCCTTCCCTGCCCTCCATCTCCTGGCCCCCTCCCCCGGTTCTTCCAGCAGCCCCTCAATCTTGGACACGGTCCCCTTCAATCCCAGTAACCCACGGCCTCGGCTTGGGTTGTTGGTGCCTGCCACAGGAGAGGGCTCAGGGCTGGGCAGGGCTGGGCTGGTCCTTGGACAGGGTAGGGTGTGCAGAGTGCTGGTGGGCAGTGGGGGCAGGGCCTGGTGGCGGGACGCTAACCCTCTTCAGTTGCCTCAGATCACGTCCGGGCCTCCCCACCCCCTTCGCTGGAACTCTCATTAACCGCTTCTCCTGCCTCGTCCGCAGCATAAATAACCCAGATAAATCAGCCGCCGTCCGCCCCCCGCCCCTCGGCCCCCGCACAGCCCGTTTGTCACCGCTGCTCGCTCACCAGCCAGGCCTGGCCCAGTCCCGGCCTCCGCACCCCCCCATCCGTGTCCCTTCCCGCCCACGTCTGTCCCACGCTGGCTCATGCCTTGGTCCGCAGCAGAGCCAGGCCTGGGACAGGTGTCTGATCTGGGCAAGGTGGCAAGGGGTGTACTCTGCGAGCAGGGGGAGACTGGGCCCTCCCCCTAGAATGCTATCTAGGAGTTTGGGGGTCATGTCATTTAGGAGTGGGGCCACCCAGGCTGGGAGTCTAAGGCCCACAAATGGGGGAAAGGGGCAAATGCAGCTCAGCTTGCGGGTCCCTGCTGGGAAGAGGGAACCCCAGAGCTCGGGGTGCGGGATGCGCCTTGGAGCCCCGCAAGCAGGATCCTGGGATGTCTCCAGGTCTACCTTTTGGAGCATTTTGCCCAAAGAAAAACCTCCGTGCCCCCTACCAGGTGCTCTGAGTCAGAACCCTCCTGCCCTCCCTACCTCTCTGCCCCCCATTCCCGTGCCCTGCCTGGGCAGGCTGTACAGATGGTACTCTAATCTCTGCCTCTCAGTCCATCCACCGTTCTCTCTGTTAGGAAGCCTAGTTCAGCCCCTGGGGGGTGGGTGGAGAACTGGACTGCGAACAAATCTGGGGAATGGGGACAACTGGTGGGCAGAGGATGTCTGGCTGAGGCTTCACATCCTGACCCTGCACTCCACACTCCCCCCCGCCCCCCCCAACCTGCACCCACATTCCCACCCCCAGAGTCCTTGGCAGCCCCTCCCCCTTTGCTCACACCCAGCTTGGGTCCTGGCTAGCCACACTTGGCCCTGATGCTCACTGCAGGGGGCAGCTGGTCCCCTGGGAGTGGGTGGGGGAAGCAGGGAAGGGATGGGGGAGCTTGGGCGCAGGGCTGGGCGTGGGGGTGGGGAAGAAACTGGGCTGGGCCCCAGGGACCAGCTGGGCAATGAGCCGGGGAAGCAGCCGGGAGGCTAAATGAGGGAGATTATCACCCAACTGCAGCCGGGCAGAGAGGGAGGCAGGCAGGGAAGGGGGGGGGGGAGGGAGGGGAGAAAGGACGGGGGCCAGAGGGGAAAGGGGTGTAAGGGGACAGGGTGGGTGATAGAAGAGGCTGGAGGAGTAGGGGGAAAAGGCCAAGGGATGGGCTGAAAGGACATGGTGGGGGCTCCCACTGAGCACAACCATATTCCTGGGGCCTGGGAGACTGGAGGATGAGGGCTTGGGGACAATTGAAGACAGCTCACTGTAGGGCAGCGGGGGGTGGGGGGCGGAAATGCAGCTAACTGCTGCTCCACTTCCCGCTGGCCTAGAACTCCCCTCACCATCCTGCCCCTGCCCCACCCCCCAGCACCGGCTTACCACCCAACTTCATTCCTTCTAGAGGTTGAAGGCTCCCCGACATGCCCTCAGGAGAAAAGAGGGCATGCTTCGGGCTTGTGACGGAGGCCAGTATGTTGGGGAGAAAGACCCTGTGATCTCATTGGATGGCAGGACAATTTAGTGACACACACTGAGTCCTGGGCGGCAACCAGTGCTGGGGAGAGCTTGGGGGGCAGTTCCCCGCTTTCCTGGCAGAGCCCCAGACTGAAGTAACCTTAAAAAAGCAATTAAATCACCTTTAAAAAAAAAAAAAAAAACCCAGTAAAGAAAAATCAATACCAGGAGAAAGGGGAAGAGAGAGGCTGGGGACGATAAGGAGGTGGGGGAGGAGGTGCTGGAAGGGTCTGGTAGTCTAGCAGGGAGGGGTGAGCGTGGGAGGGGGCTGCCCCTGGGCAGCGGGCAGAGATGGGGACAGTCTGTCATCGCTTGGGGGCTCCGGGTGCCAACCCCTTTCCCCTCTGGGATGCTGCCAGATGCAGCCCCTGAGACCCCAGGGGTCTCAGCTCCCCAGCTTGGGGGGGACGGCTGGTGGGGAGGCCCAGCCAAGGGGCCGCTGGAGACAAACCCCAACAGGGTGCCCCAAAGGGCCAGGGTTGGTGGGCGGCTGTGTGTGGGTGGGCTCCGTGCTGGGGTGACCAGTGATGGATGGGGCCTGACCCGGCCTTGCAACCAAGGTGAGCAGAGTGGTTCCCTGCTCCCCAGGGGAGCCATCCCTGGGCCCCTTTCCCAGGCTAGGCGCAGGGGCTGCGACCGGCAGGGCAGGCCCGCCGCAGGGGAGAGGTGGCCACTGGGCAGCGGGGGGACCTCGGACTCTAATCCCCAGCAGCTGCTGTTTCCCTCAGATCGATTCCCTTCTCACTTTTTTTTTTCAGCTGCCGGTTCCGCGGCTCGGATCGATGGAGCTGCCTCCCCCACCCCTCTGAGCTTCCTCTCCCTGCTGCTCATTAGTGCCCCGATTAATCAGCCCCCCACCTTTCCTCTAGGGGATGAGTACTTCCTGTCCCATGAGGGCTCTCGCTCTCACACGGGCACCCACCCCCAGAGCACAAGCTACTCACGGTGACCACCCCCACCCTGGGGGCACCCAGGCATCACCTCCTCTCCGCCGGCCACCAGGGGCCCCATCCCCGCCTGTGATAGCAGCCCGCATGCCTGCTTCCCCTCCGCCAGGCGGCAGCCACCCCAGGGCTCCCCTGCCCCTCTGACAGGCGCCCCCGTATCTGTTTCCCTAGGACTGCGTTCCTTCCCATTCAAGCGCAGCACCTCTCTGCTCCCTCCAGCACCCCCATGTGGGCTCTTCCTGACCTCCGTTCCACACCCTCTCAGCACATCACACCTCCTCTGCTCCCTGGCCTGTCCACCCAACACGCGCCCCCACCCCCCGGCCTGGCAAGGGATTTGGGAAACATTTGGCGAAGCAAAGCGGCCACAGATGTGCAAGTCAGCCAGGGTGCCCTCTGTCCCAGACACATGAGACACTGAGTTTCGGGGGTGGAGGTGAAGTCGGGGAGAGGGCGGCCAGCATCCCAGAGGGGGCGGCCAGCATCCCAGAGGGGGCAGGGGTATGGTGGGTGTTAAGTCGGGAACAAAGCTGCAGGGAAGCCACGAATCTTGGTGGAACCACCATTGTCCCCTTGTCTGTCTCGCCTGCCCTTCTCTGCTCTGCCCTCCCCTCCCCTCCCTCATTCAAACAAGTGGCTCTCCCAAGGAGTTTCTGGAAGCCGCCGTGAGTGGGGTAGTGGAGTCAGGTGGTGGCTGGGTGGCTGCAGTCAGGAGTCAGGGAGGCCAGGAGGTCGGGGATGGAGTCGGCTGGCCCTTCCTGGGGTGCGGTCCAGAAAAGTGGCAGAATGAGCGAAGGACTCCGGGTGCAGCCCTCCTCCCCGGGTGGCCTGGGAGTGGGGCCATGCGGGGACCCCACGAATGGCTAGGGTGTAGCAAGAGTTTGGGGCTATCCCGACGAGGTCTCAGGCAGCAGGGACGGGCGATCCCTGTCCCGGGCTGGGGGCTGCCCCCTCCCCTGGCCTGGCTCCTGCCGCCCGTGCCGCCGGTGAAACGCTGTTGACATGTCCTGAATTATTAAGCACGGGGTGGGCTCCGGAGCACATGCTGAGCGGAGCGGCTGGGGCTGCGCGGCGTGGCGGAGCAGCGCTCGCTCCCTCGCTCCCTCGCTCGCTCGCTCGCTCGCAGGGACACACGCAGGGGCTGACAGCTGTGCCGGTGCTGATAAGGGAAGCCACAAGGAGACGATCGAGGAGAGAGACAAGCGGCGGCAGAGGCGGCAGCGGCAGCGGCAGCGGCAGCGGCAGCGCCAGGGCTGCGGAGTCGCCGGGAGTGGGAGTGACTCCCCCACCTCAGGCCCCCACCCTGTCCCCGTCCTCTTACCGTTTGCCCTGAGTTTAGAAGAGCAGCCGCTGCCCCCGCAGCCACTCCGGAGGGCACCGGGGGCTGCTGGCCAGGGAGGGACAGGGGCAGGTAGGCTCCAACCAGTCCCAGCAGCTGGGCACAGATGCCGATCGAGATTGTGTGCAAAATCAAATTTGCAGAGGAGGATGCGAAACCCAAGGAGAAGGAGGCAGGGGATGAGCAGAGCCTCCTGGGGGCCGCGCGGGGGGCATCAGCCCCCCGGGACCTGGCCACCTTTGCCAGCACCAGCACTCTGCACGGGCTGGGCCGGGCCTGTGGCCCAGGCCCCCATGGACTGCGCAGAACCCTGTGGGCACTGGCCCTACTCACCTCGCTGGCTGCCTTCCTGTACCAGGCGGCCGGCCTCGCCCGGGGCTACCTGACCCGGCCTCACCTGGTGGTAATGGACCCGGCTGCCCCAGCCCCAGTGGCGGGCTTCCCGGCCGTCACCCTCTGCAACATCAACCGTTTCCGGCATTCGGCACTCAGCGACGCCGACATCTTCCACCTGGCCAACCTGACCGGGCTGCCCCCCAAAGACCGGGACGGGCACCGTGCCGCTGGTCTGCGCTACCCGGAGCCCGACATGGTAGACATCCTCAACCGCACTGGCCACCAGCTCGCGGATATGCTCAAGAGCTGCAACTTCAGCGGGCACCACTGCTCCGCCAGCAACTTCTCCGTGGTGAGTCCTGCCAGCCGGCCCGCCCAGCCTGGGGTGGCCAGAGGCTGGCGGTGGGGGAGGGAGTGGTGCGCAGGGCATCCTCATCAGGGCTTCCCCTCCTGCCGCCGCCAGAGGCTGGCCTCGTGTCGCCCCCATGCCCGGTGTTGCCCTCGGGCTCCCCAGCATGGAGCAGTGGACGCTCGTGGGGGCTTACCGTGCTGCTGCTGCCACTCTCTTCGGGCTCTGCCGCCGCTGCAGAGCCTAGGTCTGGGGGCCAAGGGTCCTGGAGTGGGCCCGGGGGCCCAGAAGCTGGTCAGCTTGCAGGGGAGGGATGCACCATGCTACAGCCGGACCAAGTGACCCCCACTTTTCTCTTGCTCTCCTTTTCTCCTGTGGCCACTGGATTCTTCTCCCCACCCAAAAGGGCGATGGGGAGAGGGTGTTCTGGGGGCTCCAGCAAAGGGGGGACTCAGGGCTGCCTCTGGGGGAGCTGGCCCGGCAGGCAGGCTGGACAGAGCCGATCTTCGCGTACACTGGGTGCCAGTGTCTCTCACACACACCCCCTTTCACTGACTCGCTCACACATCCCTCTTTCACGCTGCCCCTCCAGCTTCTCCCGCTTTGCAGGCCCTCCCTCTGTTTCCTGGTTCTTGCCCGGCTCTGGCTCTTACACTGAGGGTCACTCATTCACTCTTAGGTGCATGGCTCACCCTCACTGCTGCCCAGCGCGCGCGCACACACACACACACACACACCCCTACCGCATGGGGACATAGTTTCCTGCACACTCTCTCACACAGTGTCCCTGTCACTACACTCACGTGCACACCTGCACACCCACGCACCCAGAGAGCTGCTCATCCCCGTGCCCACATCCCAGCTCTTACTAAGCTGCTGAGGACAGGGTCACACCGTGGATGCTGTCCCCTCTTGTGACACCCCCACCTGCCTCAGCCCCTGCTCCCCGTCTCTCACATATGTGCAAACACACACACACACTCTCACGAGGAGTGGAGTGGAGTGTTGGCTTGGGCTACCCTCCCATGCACACCTCCCACAATCGGGTGTGTGAGGTGTGTGTGAAGTGTGTCTTGTATGCTGTCTGTCTGTCTGTCGGTGCTCCGTTCACCCATAGTCACAGGCTGTCTATTATTCCTGGTGCTTGAGTTGCTGTCCCCAGTCCACAGTTTACCCCCGGCATTGTGTACGTGTGGTGTGTGTGGGGTGTGTTTTCATTCTTGTGACCACCGCCCAGCGCGTGTGCAAATACATGGCATCGACGTGGTGCCCATCCAGCCCAGCCTCCAGCTCCAGCCCCAGATGGGGACCTTTTCCTTCTCATGGCCCGGTGCCCGCACGCGGGCTCTCATTCACTCACTGCCTCAGTAGCACCAGGAAACATGCTCCACCCGTGTTCCTGCCCCCACCATGCCTGCAGCCTCGGGGTCCTCCTGCCATTGGATGGCGGGAGTTGCGTAGAAATGGAGGAAGGGACGAGAAGGAGGATGTGCTGGGAGAGGAACCGGGGCGGGGAGGGGATGGCGGGGGCCTGTTGTCCAGCTGCACGCCCCTTCTTCCAGGAAAAATTCAACGCTCTCAAAGCGATTGTCCCTAAGGAGCAGTGTGTGAATGTGGCCTTTCGGGTCCGTGGGGCTCCTCTGTGAGACATCGTCACTCCTGAGTTTTGGGGGTGGGGACAGAGCCCGTGTCAGCAGGTGCTGTTGGGGCAGAAATCAATGGGGCCTTTGTGTCCCTGAGTGGGAGTTTGTGTCCCAGGCCCCGGTGAGGGGTGGAAGGGCAAGAGGAAGAGTAATGAAGCCTCAGGGGGAGGGGAGGGAAGGAAGAGATAGAGGGGCAAGGAAGCAAGGTGAGGGAGGCGGGGGGGTAGCTGCCTGGCCTCCAGGAAAGGAGGAGGTGCCTGGAGGATATGGGAACAGGGAGCCCCCGGATTAAAGCTGGCGAGTCCCTGTGGATCTGGGGATGGCCAGGCAGAGGTGAGGGTGGACATCCCACAGGCCCTTTCGTACCCTGAGGATGGAGAGAAAAGGACAGAAGTTTGTGGGTCTCTGCTCTGGGGCTGCAGCAGGACAATGAGGGGCAGAGGAGCAAAGCAAGCACGGGGGGCCAGGGATTCCCCTTGGATCCACCTGTCCCCCCACTCAGCCTAGTCCCCATGCCCTTCTGCCCAAACCCCACCCCCCATGTGCTGAGTGTAACTCTCCCTTGGACCTGGCATTCCAAGGCTGAGTCTGCTGCCAGTTTACAAGGGTCTGGGATTATGGTTGGGATGGGATGATCCACGGTAACGGGGAAGATGGGGGTGTATTGTGTGGGCAAGACTGGAGAAGGGGTATGGAGACAAAGACATCAGGGGTCTCTGATGAGGACATGAGGTCCACAGTAGACTCCGTGGTGAGAATATGGAGCCCGTGATGGGGATGTGGGATCGATGGAGGGGTGATGGGTGCAGGAATCAGTGGTGGGAACCTGCCAGGGCACGTGTGCTGAGATGGTCAGAGACAACAACGCGCTTTGGGGAAGGTATGTGTTTTCTGTTGCTTTCCCCATTTCCTCCTTCCCACTCCCCACTCTGCTGTGACCTTTCTTCCGGAATCCAAGTTAATAAATGTCACATTTTCCAGCCTATTTTTACTCCGGGTAAAATGCCCTCCCCCAGTCCCCTCAGCTGCCGCTCTTGCTTCTGTTACCACTGCAGTCGCTCTCACCCCCACGCTCCCTAATATCCCCTCACTGATTCCCAATCAGTCCCTCAATCAACACGGAGTTCTGAGCACCTACTGTGTGCCAGGCTCGCTGCCAGGTGCTGTGGTGGAGAACAAAGAAGGGGAGCCCTGGTCCCCAGTCCCTGTCCTCAAGCAGCCTCCAGTCTTGTGGTGGAGCTGGGATGGGGACACTTAAAAAGCTTTACCAATGGAGGAGTTAACCAGCCATGCAAGCAGTGTCAGGAGGTGCCGGGATTAATTGCCAAACGAGGTTACATGGATAGTAAGAGCCTGGGTTCAGAGAGAGGGGCCATTCTGGGCTGAAGAGGGCTGGGAAGGCTTAACGGATGAAGCAGCCTGGGCGAGGTTTGGAGAGGAGGGGAGGGGAGAGAGGCGAGAGAGAGGAGCGATGCTTCCACCTCTCCACCCATATGCCCCTCCACCCAGCTCACCCCATCTCTTCTCTTTGCCGCCCCCCTCCTCACCCAGTCTCATACCAACCCACTCCCACCTCCACCACCACTTATATGTTCTCTCTTCCTCCTCAATTCCTACCGCCGTCCGCTCCCCCAGCCCAGCGCGCCAAGCCCCATCTATACTTTCCCCCCTGCGGCTGCTCTCAGCCTGCCCACTTACTAGAAGGCAGAAATCACTCTTTCTTCCTAGGCTTCGTCTCTTCAGCTGTAAAATGTGGCTCTAAATTCCAGCGTCTCCTCTCAGCTGGGGACTGTACGGTGGAGTGGTCAAGTGTGTGGGTTCGGGAGCCAGACGGTCTGGACTCAAACCTTGGCTGGGTGGCCTTGGAGAAGTTAGCTTCTGTGAGCCTCAGTTTCTGTATTAGTGATATAGAATATTAGAACCTAAAAAAATTCGGGTGGTTGTGAGGATTAAAAGAGGTGGCTGTAAAGGGCATAGCACACTGCCTGGCACACACACCACGTGCACTCAGAGTGTCAGCTGTTAGAAATGCCACCACCCCAACTCCTGGCTCTCTTTAACCTGACTGTTCCCAGCACTACCTGCTGTTTTCCAACCTACGTGCTGGCATCTTCGCTAGTCTCCATCACCTAGCCTTCCTCCTCTCTTGACCCTCAAGCCTCCGCCCCCCACCCTATTATAGCATCCCTATGCTTCCCAACCCTCCCCAGGTCTCAGGCACGCGTGTGCATGTGTAGTAGTGCATACACTTGAGATCCGTGCTGTCCCACAGAACACTCTGTGATGACGGAAATGTCCTGCATCTGCGCTGTCCAGCGTGGTCATCACTAGCCACACAGGCCAGTGAGCATCTGCAGTGTGATTAGTGTGACAGAGAGAATGAAGGTTCTATTCAAACAGCGGGGTGTGGCCAGTGGCTGCCATATCAGACAGTGCTGCTCTAGGTGGTCCTGGGGACGTGGTTCAGGCTGCCAGGTTGGTCAGGGCTAGGCTTTCCAACGGGCATCAAAGGATATAAAGTGATGGTGGTGGGCTGTGATCAGAAGTCCGGCCATCTCCTCTCCGGGCTGAGGTCCCCGGTTGAGCTGAGGATGGGGCCTGTGTCTGGGGACATCGAGGTGTCTGGAAACACCACCGAACAGATACACCTTTCTTCCCAGGTGCAGGACATGACCTTGGTCTTTTCCATTCTATTGTCTGGAAAATCGAGGCATGGGGAAGGCAGAGAATCCACGAGGAGGCAAGGGGAGGGCCAGCCCCTCTCTGTGGGGTCCTCCGGGGTCCAGGCAGCCCCCGGAGGTGCAGGTGACCAGAGACCTGTGGGCACTTCCCTGTTTCTATCCCCTCTCGGGCTGTCAGCCTTCCCTCCCCGCCTCCCAACCCTCCTTCCCCACACGCTGGTGACTGCCGTGACTATTAATCACTCGCCCTGTTCTCTTCCTCTCTGCTAATCAGGCACAATTAGACAAGGCCTCTTCCAGCTGGGCAGTCCTCCTCCCTGCCCCCTTCCCTCCTCTCCCAGCCCCACCCCAGCTCAGTCGGGACGGCTCTGAGGCAGAGGGAGCTGCGTGCCAGCCCTCCCTCACTCTCTGGCTCCCCCAGCCCACAATTCCAGGCTCCTCCGCCATCCCCGGCCTTCTATCCAAGCTTCCTCCTGAGCCCGCCCCTTCCCTGGTGTGGTCAGGCCGGTACTGACAGTCTCTGCACCCACTCCTTGATTGTGGGAGGGGCTACTCCACAGACGTCCCAACTCCAGGCCTCCGCCACTGGCGCCGAGGGCCTGAGGGCTGCCCCTTGCCCCCGCGACTCCGGAAGGGAGAGGATTCCCACTGCGGCCTCTCATCTACCGGATGAGCTTACCTCGGACCCTCACTCCCAGCCCAGCCCTCCGTGCCCTCCGGCTCCACCTTCTCCTGAGGCGTGAACCTGGAGAACGTTTAGTTCAACATCTAGTTCAGGGGTGGTCCTGCCTTCGGGAGCCAGGCAGATCAGGTCTGAGAAGGCACACAGTAGGGAAGGGTGGGGTATGAGGGGAAGTGAAGGTCACTTACCCTTGAAGGGAGCAGCTGTTTCTCAGCCCCAGCTAACTGTTGCCCTGTGGTCAGGGATGCCCGGTGTTAGGGGGTCTTCCAATTTGTCCAGAGAAGCCCCGAGTCTTGATTATTTTAATTAAAAATTTCCTGAGTAAAAAAAACATTCAGAGGTCTAGCTACAACTCCGACTGCAGGACCCAGCGTGCCTGCCCTCCCCACCGCCTGCCCCACTGCTGGCTGCTGCCCCTCAGGCCCTCCTGGAGGGGGCGCTCTCAGCCTGGCCGCCTCCCATTGGCCGGTGGAGTTGCTGGAGGGGGATTTGAGCCCAGCAACCAGCGGCAGGGACTGTGACTGTTACGCGGGGCTGGCCTGCAAGGGCAACGGGGAATGCCAGGAGGGACGTGCCCCACCTGGCCCTGCTCTGCAGCCCCGTGGCCTCTTCATTAATCAGGCATCAGCCCCGAGCTGGGCTCATTATCAGCTCAGCTTCTCGTGGCACTGCCGGAAGATGCTGATTAGCCTTTGAAGAAATGGCCCCCGCGTTTCCCTCTTGTCCTCCCTCTTTCTGCCCGTGCTTCTTCCTGGACACCCACCCCGGCCCTTCTGCTTCTCGGGAGGAATCTGCTCCCTCTCGCGGCTGGTGGCAGGCCTGTCTCTGCCAAGCCCAGGCCAGGGACAGAAAGGACCAGGACCAGGGGGCAGGGAGGCAGGAGCGCCCCAAGGAGTACTCGGAGTGCAGAGTTTCGGGACTACTCAGGCTGAGGTCACTGGGCGGAGGAGGGGGAGTGAATGCGGGGTGGAGACTCAGGGTGGCGGGAAGAGATGGACAGCCTCCCTGGAGGAGGGAATGAGAGGGCAGCCTCAGGCTGTTATCAGTGTTTCCCTGTCCTTCTCCTGGCAATGCCACCTCCTTGGAGCAGCTGGGCAGAGGGGGTGGGGATAGCCAGAACCGTGGACAGGAGGCCTGAGGGTTTGGGGTTTTTGTTTTTTTGTAAATCCTGGTGGAGGTTTAGGGTCTTGGAGCCATCCCACATGAATGGCGGGTGGGAAGGCAGGAGGAGGACAGAGACCCCGTGGGTGGAGATAAGAGGCTTCAGAGTGCTGTGTGTTTTCCAGAAGAGGGAGGGGGTATCTGCAATTCTTCCCCGGCGCTCAGGCCCCGAGGAGGCCGGGGTTGGCAGCGCTGAAAATCCCACCCCCCCCCCCCCCCCGCAAATGTTCACCATGCCCTTGGGACACCCATTTTCAGTCAGAGCGGGAACAGTTCCAGAAAGACAGGCACAGGCAGCAGCAAGAGAGTTCAGAGAGGAGCCACGGGATGATTAAGGGGAAATGGAGGATTGATTTAGGAGGAAAGATTAAAGGAGCTAAATCCGTGGCGCTTGGCTCAGCGGTGACTAAGCGTGGACAGGATAATAGCTTTACAAATGTGTGAAAGGTGTAAATACCAAAGGGGGGGAGGGGAGGCGGCTCGGCGGGCCAGGAGAGCGGGGCTAGGGGCTGAGGAGGCCCCCGGAAGGGCTGGGGGCCCTTGGGCGACTGCCCGGTAGGGCTGGCTCCTCTCTAGTAGGGGTGCAGGGGGAGCAAACGGGGTGTCGGGGAGCCCCGGGTTCCAAGCTGGGGTTCCATTTCGGGGCCGCAGCTTCGCCGGCCTGTGCTGACCTCCACGTCCCACTCCCGCCCCGCTGAGGATCTGAGGCCGCGGGTTCAAATCCCATCCGAGTCCCTCTGCGTCCCTCGGCACCGGGCCTTTCCCTCTGCATCCATCCGCTGGGGCCCGGGCCGCCGCCCCGCCGTGCCGGCTCGCGCCCCTCGCTCCTCCCCGGCCGCGGAGCGCGGCGGGAGGCGGTGTCTCCCTCCGCGGTGGAAGCCTTTGGCGCGGCTGTGTGCGGAGGTCACTTTGCCGAGGAGCCGGGAGCCGGAGGAATGCAAATGAGGCAAACCCCGGGAGGAGAATGGAGGAGCCCGGAGGAGACCGGAGGGAGGGCGCCCGGGCGCCGCGATGGATGCCTGCCCCGCGGGAGGGAGGAGGGGGGCGGCGAGGAGCACGAGGCGGTGGGTGCGGCCTTCTGGGTGCGGCTGGGCCCAGCCTGGAGGCTCGGGCGCACTCACCCACCTCCTCCATCTCCTCCACCTCCTGGGTCTCGGTTCCTGAACTCCCTCCTGGACACGGATGCGATCCACTGTGTAGGCAGGCTCTTAACGAATAACTTTGCATCGAGGGCTGGAACGTCAGGGAAGGACTTCGTTACAAATTAAAAATATTCCCGTCTGCAAAACTGACTTTCTAGGGTTTAAGGCCTATGCGGTCGCTACCTGGGAACAGGTTTGGCTGTTTACCTGCGTCCTGGAGACCCCGCTCTCTCCTCTCCAGTGGAGACGCGGCGCTCCCTGAGATCACCGTGTTCTTCCACGGCCCCAAGGGCTCCGGGCTCCCAGCTCCAGCTCGGCCTCAGCCTGGCCTCAGCCTGGAGTCGTACGGCCTTGACTGTCTCCTACTTCTCCACTACTGCCCACGCGTTTACATTTGCTCAAACGTCGTGCCCATTTCCTCCTAGACTCACAAGCACTTCTACCTTGGAGAAGAAGTCGCCTTGAAGAGCACCTGGGTGGCTGGGGGCTGGGGGGATGCTGCGTTGACCCTGAGGGGGAGGGCAGGCGCACTAGGGCCGGGGTGGGGTGGGGTGGGTGGTATTCTCCCTGTGTCTGACTGTGGTGTGATCGGATGCCCTTCCTGGGTGGATGAGTGCGCTTGCTCTGGGAAGCTTTATACTCTCCAACCCAAGTCGAATTCCCGTTCCACTCTCAGGGGACTGGGATTGGTCTCCCTATCACACCACCTATCCCAGCAGTAGGGATTTGCCTGTCCCTGGGATTGTTGGTTTTGTGTGCTTTGTTCACTGTATAGCCGCTGTATACCTGGCTCCCAGCCTAGGTGCTCAATAAACACTTTTGGAATGAATGAATGCCTTTGGGGCCAGATAGCCAGCTCCCTCAGGGCAGAGACCAGTGATTTTGTTCTCCGAATCATCCCCAGTAGCAGGCATAGTACCTGGCGTATTGTACAGGCTCAAGGAACGGTGTTGGACAAGTAAGTGTGATGTGAACACTCACCATTTCTTTTTTTCTTTTTTAAATAAATTTATTCATTTATTTATTTATTTTTGGCTGCATCGGGTCTTCGTTGCTGCACGTGGGCTTTCTCTAGTTGCGGCAAGCGGGGGCTACTCTTTGTTGCGGTGTGCGGGCCTCTCAATGCAGTGGCTTCTCTTGTTGCGGAGCATGGGCTCTAGGCGCGCGGGCTCAGTAGTTGTGGCATGCAGGCTCAGTAGTTGTGGTGCACGGGCTTAGTTGCTCCACGGCATGTGGGATCTTCCTGGACCAGAGCTCAAACCCGTGTCCCCCGCACTGGCAGGTGGATTCCCAACCACTGCGCCACCAGGGAAGTCCCCACCCACCATTTCTTAAGCACCTCCTATTCACTGGGGCTGTGCCAGGTATGTTTCAGCACGCAGTGGCTGTTAGCGCAGAGTCCAGTGCCAGATCACCTGGTCCCCTCCTCTGCCACGTCATGTGACTCTGGCCAGCTCCTTACCCTCTCTGGACTTCCACTGTCTTGTCTGTAAAATGGAGATGTTTAGAAACCTCCAATAGAGGGTTTTTGTGAGAATCAAGGAGTTAATTGATATAAAAGGCTTAGGACTATGCTTGACACAGAGTAAGCACTGAATAAATGTTAACTGTGGCTATTATCTGTGTACATTATCTCTTTCCTCATAACACCTCTGACATGCCTATTATTATTCCTGTTGTACAGATGAAAAGTGGCGGGTCAGAGAGGTTAAATGACTGAACCCGAATCCCACAGACAGTAAGGGCAGGGCTGCAGGCCTGTGCCCTCCTCTGATAGGACAGCCAGATCTCAGACCCTGGGGGGTTTGCTCTGACAGAATTCCATCCTCTCCCACAATTGCTGAGAGGGCCTTTACCAAGGTGCATGATGCCGTGTGAGAATGGGCCCAGTGGGGAGCCGAGATCAAATGGCCGCACCGTCTTGGCAAGAAGATTCCCTAAATGGGCTCCCCTGCTTTCTTGAGCACCTTGCACACATCCCTCTGGACTTATCTCTGATCTTCACTACTAACCTTAGGAGGAGGAATTACCATTCCCCCTTTTACTGATAAGTAAACTGAGGCTCAGAGAGGTTAAATCGCCACCCACGGTTGTTTGTCCAAGGCTGGGGGCAGAGCCAGGACTTGAACCCTATTCTGTCAGCTCCAAAATGTGCACCCATTTTTCCATGTTATGAAGCTTAGGTGGATCCTTTTCCAGCACCAGATTCAATGGTCGATCTCTGCCCCAGTTTGGGCCTTACTGGTCTCCACAACACTCTTATTACTAATGTTGAGGCCTCATGTATACGATGTTACCTTGCAAATACCTTTCACCTACTTCATTTCTTTTGAGACTTATAACAAACCTGTGAAATAAGTCGAGCAGGAATTTCTATCCCCACTTGACGGATGAGGAAACTGAGGACCAAAGAAGTAAAAAAATCACTTTACTAACCAAGATTACACAGCTGTCACTGGTGGAGCCAGAGCTGGGATCAGGGTCTACTGACCCCCAGGGGGGTGATGGAGGTTAGTGGAGAATGCTGGGGCCCAGTGGGGGGTGGGGGACTGGGCTCAGGTTCTGAACGTGCCCTCTTTTTTCTGTATGTCTTTGGATATGTCCCTTGCCATCTCTAGGCTTCCAATTTGGCCTTTGTACAGTGAGGGTTTGGACTGAGTTACCTCCCGGTTCTGACCAGCGCAGACACCTTAGGCATTCTGAGTTGGTACTATCTTCCCTGGCGAGGACAGAGGAGGAGAAGGCTTGGTACCTGGGTGCTTGGGCCACCCCTGAGTGAAGCTGGGGCCCCAGGACCATCTGAATTGGGATGCCGGCCACAGTCCAGGGCAGATGAAGAGGTACCCACTTCCACTGGCCCACTCTGGACCCCAGGGCACTGCAGGATTAAGGGGAGTTCGCTCCAGGGGCCTAAGTGAGAGGCATGGGGCCGGACCACATCAGGAGAGGGCTGATGGAATTTGGAGGGATAAAGCAGCCATGGAAAAGAGGGCTGGGGGGAGGTGCCAAGGCCTCGGCAGAGGCAGGGTGCCCAGAAGGCGCTGGAGATAAAGCCCAGGCTGCAGATTAGCGCTGGGATTAGCCCAGCCTGGCTGTTCCTGGCTGCTTCTTATCTCCTGGCGGCCCGGCGGAGGAGCCCTCTCCCCCACCGCTCTGAGCCCTGGCCCTGCTAATTGCCTGTTAACCCTGTGGGCTCCTTGACTGCAGGGAGGATGAGGGGTTGGGGAGGGGTGGGTAAGAATGCGAGGAAACGGGAGCTGTGGACAGATGGAACTCAAGGGACTGAGAGAGAAGCCACTGCTCAGAGGAGCAAGCTCTGGACTGATCTCTCCGACCCTGATCATCGTCTAGGGCAGACCTGGAGGGGAGGAAAGGGCGCCTGGGGAGGGGTTCCTGGCTTGGGGAGGTGGCTTCAGGCCCAGGGAAAAGTCAAGAGGAGGAATACAAGAGTCAGTGACTGGACACCTAGACTGGAGAATAGAGAGAAAAGGAAACAGTATAGAGATGCAGCGGGCAAAAGAACAGAGAGGCTGGGGGGCAGCCAGGCCAATGGGAGAAAGACGAGGCCAGGGGGACGGACAGGCTGACAGAGGGCAAGGGACAGAGACACAGACCAGATGGATAACTGATCAGATGCTGAGGACAGACAGGCCAGGAGGATGGAGAAAGACCTGAGAGAGAGACAGATCAGGCGACCGAGGCTAGGGAGATGGACAGACCCAGGGCAGGGTCCAGGCCAACACTAAAGGGGAGGTGGTCCGAGAGGGACAGGCAGAGGGCTGGCAGGAAGGAAGCTGGTCCACGGGTCTGCCTGCAGCATGGACACAGACCTATCTAGAACCCGTCCAGCCTAGGTCTGGAGGGCTTCAGCCCAGGGCCAGGGGGATGGACCTAGGAGTGAAGGCAGAGAGCAAGGGAGGGCCGAGAAGAGGGAGAGCCAGACGGAAGAAGAAGGTGGGCTCTGAGATGGGGACAGGGCCCAGAGGCTGAGGCTGGTGGTGGTGGGGATCTGGAAATAGCCCCTTGGCCCATCAGGGCACATCCTAGCCCAGGAGCTGCCCCTTTCCGTGGCTGGACTCTGGACCCTCAACTCCTGTCCACACACCCTCCTCTGGGGCCATTCAGGAGAGAGCAGTGGACAGCCAGTGGGACCCTGTGGCAGAGCGGCCGTGCCGTCTCCATGGAAGAAGATGTGGGCTGTGCTGCTACCAGAGTTCTGCCACTTAGGAGCTGGTGGTTCCACCCGCTGCTGCCTGCCTGGCCCAGGGACCGTCTCCAGGGCAATGCTCTGCTCTGCTCTGCCCCACAGTCGGGCCTGACCCGGGCTGTGCAGGTGTCCTGGCCCTGCCAGTCTGGCCTGTCTACTCCCTGCAGACCATTGTCCATCAGCAGACCCAGAGTCCTTCCACCCATCTCCCTTTGTCACCCCCACTCTACACAGTCGCCTCAAGGGCAGGCGTACCAGGTAGCCACCACCATCTGAAGCCATTGGAGCCAAAGCCTTCCCAGTTGGCTCTGCCCTGTACAGGGAGAGTTTCAGTGTCAGGTAGCCCGTGTCTGTGTCTATGTGGTGGAGGTATCGAGCAGGGAGGCTGCCCCAGCCCCACCCAGGTTCAGGAGGCTACCAGACTCATTCATTCACTGAACACCTACCAGGTGTTTTATAAGCACTAACTCTGCTTTGGCATCAGGCTCAGTTCTGCTCGAATCTCTGCTGTCATTTACTTGCTGTGTGCCCTTAGCCAAGTCATTTTCCCTCTCTGAGCTTCCTCAACATGAAATGGGGGCTACAATGCTTACCTCATGTGGTTTTCTTGGAGGCTCAAAGGAGAAACTAGATCAAAAGTACAGGACCCAGTACAAAGTGGGAATGTTTGATAATGTCCACTTTGCATTCCTTCCCTCGACCTCACTCCTCCTTCTGCAAATTGCACTGGGCTCTGGGGATACCAAGATGATGAAACGGGGCTCCCAGCCTCAGGGAGTCCATGGTCCCATGGGAGAGACCATGACAGTGCCCAGCGGTCAGGGTCAGCCGCTGCACACCGGGGGGCGCGAGTGAGCAGCTCACTACTGGGATTCCCCCATGCAGCCCATGCCTTGTTTAGCCTCCCAACTGGAGCACACACTGAAAAACGGCTGCAGCAGCAAGAGCTGATTCCAGCATCTTCTTGGCCCAAAATAGGAAGGGGATGAGTGCTTTGAGATTTGGGACAAATACTTACATATTCCCCCCATCTGCCTTTCCCCCACCACTGAGGACACAGAGATCTTGCCCTCAGCCCTCTTCAGGGCTCTCCTCCCTCCAGTGGCATGTAAAAGCACAGGTCTAGAGTCAGCCTGTCTCGCTGGACTCTTGCCCCTTCGACTAGGGCCTTTCTACTCACGGTGCGGTCTGCAGACCAGCAGGTTGTTAGAAATGCAGAATCTCAGTCTTGCTGCCCAACACACGTTTACTGAATCAGAATCTGCATTTTAGCAAGATCCCCAGGTGCTTTGGGTGCACATTAAAGTTTGAGAAGCACTGATCTTGGAGACCTTGGCAAATCAGCCAACCTCTCGGAGTCTCAGTTTCCTCATCTGTAGGATGTAGGATCATTGTGAGATTCGATCGGAAAGAACATATTAAGCATTTAGTGCAGTGCCTGGGGCAGAGCAGATGCTCTGGGACTGTCAGTGATGCCTACTCCTGCCCCCAGATGGACACACAACAGGGAGCTGCGGCAGGGGTGATACAGACAACGTCAAGGAGTGGAACCCAGAAGGTGGCGAGGGTGCAGAAGGAGGGGGGAGGGACAGGTGAGGAATTGAATTGAGAGGCAGCAGATATGGAGAAGAGATTAAGGAAGGTATAGAGGAGTGGAGTGCAAGGGAAGGAGGGATGGAGGAAAAGGGGTCGAGCGTTGAGACTCCAGTCTTATTTCAGCTGGATGGGGTTGAAGCAGGAGCCGGGGCTTGGGGTGCTGTAAGCTTGGGTTGGGGGAGTTGCCAGCAATGGATTGTGGGAACACCTTGGGTCTTGCATCTCAATGAGTTCCACCTCTCCCCCTAAGCTGTGTGACCTTGGGCAAGTCACATCACCTCTCTGAGCTCTGGTTTCCTCATCTGTATTAATCAGGCTAATTAAACCTACCTGATACCAGAGTGGCTGAGGAGATGAAATGGGGTGGCAGATGCTGCCATGTTTTGTAAACTGTGCAGTTCTTGTTATTTGCGCGCTTTTGTTTTGGGAATCTGAGGCAGGGTGTTTGGGTGATAGAACTGTCTTGAGAGGGGAGAATCAGCAGGGCAATTAAACTAGGGGGATGGGGATGGGAGACAACCCTGCCTCACAACGAGGGCACCCCCAGGCCCCCAGTTCTTAGAACTCCTCGCTCCTACTGCCCTCCACCCAGCCCTCTCCCTTCCACAGCCTCCCTCTGGAGCCAGGCATTTAGGAGTCTTTTCCCTTACACTGCCTCATGCCTTTTCTCCCAGCTTTCACCAGAGTGAAAATGTTCCCAGGGACAGAGGCCGGGGGGAGAGAGAGAGATTGAGTGCGCTGACCTCCTTACCCCCAGGGAAGGTACCACCTGTGATGGGTTTGACCCGGGGGCTGGTCTCTGTGGGGTGAGCCTGGCAGGGGGGAACTCCCATCTGCCTCTCCCTCAACTTCCTCCCGACCCCAGCTGCTCGCAACTCCCATCGGTAGCTCTGTCCCCGCCAGAGCCTCGGCTTCCATCTCCGGGGCTGCAGCGCCATCTGGTGTTCACATGGGAGGACTCTCTGCAGAGGAAAAGCGAGATTGGCTGCTTCTGCGCCGGCGGAACCGCGTATTAAAGTATTCCTTGTGCCCCGCCCTGGAACAGGTGCTGGACTCATTGCCCCTGTGCAGCATGAATTCTAGTGGGGGGAAGATGAGCAATGAACACGGAGGCAAACAGATAAGCAAGATCATCTCAGGTCTTGATGAGGACTTTGAGCAAACCAACAAATGCTTTTGATGAGGGGAGGCTGACACTGGGAACGTGTGTGTGCTATAGGAGTGTGCATCTGAAGAAGGGACACTTAACCTCAGGCTTAGAAGATGAGCAGCTAGCCATGCCAACTGGGGGCAGGGGAGCATTCCAGGAGAGGGAACTGCGTGAACAAAGGCCTGGGCAGGGAACTCGCTCCGAAAGTTTGAATTTGTCTCAGAGATCTGGGAGTGGAAAGGCAGGAGACAGAGGCAAAGGTTACCTCATGTGGAGACTTTCAGGCAAGGGAAGGAATTTGGCTTTATGCTCTGGGATATGGGAAGCCATTGGTGGACTTCAAGTTGGCAAGTGGCTTGATTGGATCTCCTCAGTTTAGAATGAACACTCTGGCTACTGTGTAGTGAATGGCTTTGGAGAGAGAGGCAAAGACCGATGAAGGGCACCAGTTAGGAGCCTGCCGCCGTGGCCGGGGGGGAGATGATGGTGAAAGGGGAACATGAGATGGAAGGAGAGTAGATGGATTCTAAATAGATATTGCCTGGGACAGCAGCTGCATTGTATGCCTGGTCACCCCTGTCCCATATCCCAGCAACCAACCTACAGGGAGAGGGAGAGTTCAGGGATTCTGACTTGAGAAACTAGGTAGGTAGTGGGGCCCTTTACTCATAAGAGGAGAATGGGTCGGGGACAGGATTTGGGAAGACATCAAGAGTTCTGGTAATTTTTAAAATTTTATTTATTTATTTATTTTGGCTGCGTTGGGTCTTCGTTGCTGCACGTGGGCTTTCTCTAATGGCAGTGAGCGGGGGCTACTGTTCGTTGCGGTGCGCGGGCTTCTTATTGCGGTGGCTTCTCTTGTTGCGGAGCACGGTCTCTAGGCACGCGGGCTTCAGTAGTTGTGGCACGCAGGCTCAGCAGTTGTGGCTCGCGGGCTCTAGAGCACAGGCTCAGTAGCCGTGGTCCATGGGCTTAGTTGCTCCGCAGCGTGTGGGATCTTCCCGAACCAGGGCTCGAATCTGTGTCCACTGCATTGGCAGGCGGATTCTTAACCACTGCGCCACCAGGGAAGTCCAAGAGTTCTACTATTGATATGTTAAGCTGGAGGTGCCTTTTAATCATCTAAGAGAGGATGTCAGTAGAAATGATGGAGCTCAAGGGAGGCTGGGCTGTCGGTTGGTTGCTGGGATATGGGACAGGGGTGACCAGGCAGGTCTGGTGGCCGTCACAGGGGACAGGGAACCCTAAGCCTAAGGCATTGTCTTTCATCTCCCCCTTCCACACCCCCGCCCCTCCCGCTCCTGTCTCTTATTCCCAGGTCTATACTCGCTATGGGAAGTGTTATACCTTCAACGCGGATCCACAGAGCTCACTGGCCAGCCGGGTGGGGGGCATGGGCAGTGGCCTGGAGATCATGCTGGACATCCAGCAGGAGGAGTACCTGCCCATCTGGAGAGAGACAAGTACGCAGGCGGGAAAGGGACAGGGGCTCCGGCCTGGGTCCTCTGCCTAGGGTGGGTTTCCAAAGGTGCCCATCTCTACTGTGCAGACGAGACGTCGTTTGAGGCAGGCATCCGAGTGCAAATCCACAGCCAGGAGGAGCCACCCTACATCCACCAGCTGGGCTTCGGCGTGTCCCCAGGTTTCCAGACCTTTGTGTCCTGCCAGGAACAGCGGGTGAGCACCTCCAGCTGGGTCCTGGGTCAGGCACAGGGCCGGGCCTTTGGGCTCAGAGGGGATGCTGACCAGATCTGCCCCCCAGAAGCTCACATCCCACCAGCCCTCACATGGACTTTACTGGGGCTGTGGGCGCCGGAGGGCCGGGTGGGACGTCTGTGCGTGACCCCGTCATGCCCCACCTCTGCAGCTGACCTATCTGCCCCAGCCCTGGGGCAACTGCCGAGCGGAGAGTGCGCTCAGGGAGCCTGAGCTTCAAGGCTACTCAGCCTACAGTGTGTCTGCCTGCCGGCTGCGCTGTGAAAAGGAGGCCGTGCTTCAGCGCTGCCACTGCCGGATGGTGCACATGCCAGGTGGGCACCCCACCCCCTGCCAGCTCTCTGTCACCCTGCCAGGCTCCAGAACCTCCAAGGGCAGAACACTGCTCATGTGCAGGGGGGCAGGTGCACGTGTATGACAACATGTGTGCATGTCTCTGCCCACGTGAGTGTACATGGTATGTGTTCGGGATTTTATGCATGTTTTCACGTATGCATATGGGATGCACACGTGCATGTCTGTGTGCCTGTTAATATGTATTTATGCGTACATGTACTTGTGCATATCTGTACTTTTGTACTTGAGGTTGTGTGCATGTGCTTGAACACGTGCATGCAAATCCATGTGCATATGTGTGTGTGTGCAAGCACGCATGGATTTACGTGCATATGTGCATGCGTACATCTCCATGCTTCTATGCACAGGCATGTATAAATTCATGTGCACACATTTATGTGTGTGCATGCATGTATGTGCCCACATTTGGGAATATGGGGGGGAGAGTGGATGGAACTATAGACTCCAGGAATAATCTTCTCTCCTTTCAGGCAATGAGACCATCTGCCCGCCAAATATCTACATCGAGTGTGCTGACCACACACTGGGTCCGTGCTGCCTTCTCCCCTCCCCACCTCTCCGGCCCCCTCCTCCTCTTCGTCTCTCTGTGCACCCTGGTCCTCACTGCCTTGCCTCCCCTCCTCCCAGTCTCTTCCTGGGTGTTTTTTTTCCTGGGGGTTGAGCCTTATCCCGTACCTCCAGGGGTCTGAGGACCTTTGCAGTTGTGGTAGAGAGAGCAGGGTGGGGGGTTGCAGAGAACCAGAACTGAGAGTGAAGGGCGGGGCTTCTCATCTTGCTTCAGCCAATGAGCTTGCCTCTCTGGGAAAGTGAAATGTCTTCTCCCTTGGTATGAGAAAAGATGTATTGCTGGCTACCAGTGTGGGTAAGGCAACCCCATCTGTCCATAGGTCTCGCCTGATCCACACTTCATTCATTCATTCATTTATTCATTCTACAGGTGTTTGCAGCCTGCACTGGGGCCAGAGGTAAAAGTGGGAACAAGAGCTCTGCTCTTGTAGCGCTTACCGCCTGGCGGGGCTGTGGACGGGCATCACAGCACCGCGTGTTAGTCCTTGTGTAGGGGAACCTCAGCGATCCTACAGGGCCCCAGCAAGGGCATGCAGCCTCACCTGGGCAGGCAGGGAGGATTCCCAGAGGGAGTGACATATGAGCTGAGACTGGAAGGATGTGGAAGAGTCAGCCAGGTGAAAAGGGGGGACGTGTTCTAGGCAGTGGGAACAGCTCGTGCTAAAGACCTGTGGCCAGAGAGAGCGTGTGTGTCTGGAGCCCAGAAAGGTCAGTGTGGCTGGAGGTCAGAGAACAAAGGAGGGCTTGGAAAGAGCGGGGGAGGCTCTGGGAAGCCAACAATGGCTTAAGGCAAGGCAAGAATGTCTTCTGATTTTAGGAAGGGGACCCTGATTAGATGTGAGGATGGATAAGCGGGGAGGAAGACTAGGAACAGGGTGACCGGTCAGGAGAGCTCGGCGGTAATCCAGACACTGGGGCCACGGGGGCGGCTTTGAGGTGCTGCGGCAGTAGAATCACACCTTCTCTGTCCCACACACCAACTGCATCTGCCAAAGGGGTGATTGAAGCGTGTTTAATGAAGGAACAGATGTAAGTGGGGATAAGGGAACCACAAGGGGTGGTGAGACTCCACAGAACTAAGGAGCCTTTCTTGCCCCCGCGCCTTAAGGGGCAAAGGAAGGGGTTGCTACTGGCACCCAGAGAGGGACCTGTGGCTGTCTGAGATGGACAGGAGCCGGGAGCCGGGACCACAAGTGAGGAAGCCTGGCATCTCTCCCCTCCTTGCCCTGTGATCCTGACGGGGCCTCCCATTGGCCAAACCCAACCCAAAGCCATAGGACAGGGAGTCTAGGTGATGCATTTGGCAGAGATTGGCATCCTGGGACAGAGCAAGGTGGGGAGAGTGGAGAGTGGATCTGTGGGGGCGAACATACTGAGCATAATAACCCTGCCCATTTGTCCTTCTGTCCGTCCATCCATCCATCCATGTATCCACTCATCCATCCACCCATCCGTAGGCATATGTGAACACATGCATACATCCCATTCATCCCAGCATCCTCTCCAAGCCCCTCATGTGTCTGAGGCCTCATGTGGTTAATTAGCTCTGGTGGGTGGCCCGTGCCCTCCCTCTGAGCCAGGAGGACCTCTCTGTCCCAGGGGGCTGGGCAGCAGAGGGATGAGCCTATAGGAGTGTGCTGGGGGTTCTGCCTCCGCCCACTTTCTTGGATGGTCTGAAGCTGGTCCAGGAAGGGACTCCCAGCCAGTCTCCCCCAGGCAGTGCCAGTGCTGGCCAGACCGGGCCCTCAGTTTGGGTGTGCCTGCCTCAGGACAGCCCCTAAGCTTCCTCCCTGCAGCTGGTGTGCCTCTGGGCCATCCCACCCCGCACAGCAGCTGGCGCCTCTGTGTTGCAGATTCCTTGGGTGGGGGCTCCGAAGGCCCATGTTTCTGCCCTACCCCCTGCAACCTGACCCGCTACGGGAAAGAAATCTCCATGGTCAAGATCCCCAACAGGGGCTCAGCCCGGTACCTGGCAAGAAAATACAAGCGCAATGAGACCTACATACGGTATGTATGTGTGTGTGTGCGTGCGTGTGTGCGTTTGTGAGTGTGTGTCTGTGTGTGGTGGAGGCCACCCTCAACAGGCCTGGTGCATGGTGGAGGCTGGGAGTGGGCTGCATCTTTGTTAATAATGAGTCTCCTGCCAGGAATGCCTTTCACGATCTTTTTCTTCTAGGTAACCCCTACCCATCCTCCAAGTCACATCCTGTGTCTCCACCTCCAGGGGAGCCCTTCTTAGCCCAAACACCTTTCATCTGCACCCCCACAGCACCCTGTACATACTTCTGTCGTTGCATTTACCCACTGTTTTGTGTTTGCATGTCTTTTGCACATCTGTTTGTGCGTCTTTCTCCCCCAGCAACCTGGAGCCGTTAAATGCATGTCCAGTGAATGCTGTGCAGAGGGAGAGGAACTGGAAGGGATGGGGGAGGAGCCAGGTGGCCCACAGGAGGGGTCCCACTGAGCCTTGGGCCTGGTACCCTGCAGCCAATCTACCAATGCTGAGCATCCTCTGAGTGCCAAGCCCAGCGCTGGCTCCTATGGGGACAGAGATGATTATAACACAGAACTCATGCCACAGTTTGCGGATGGGGCCGTGTTTGAAGGTGTGGGACTGATTCTTAGGCCCCAGGAGAGATGAATGTGCATAGGGGAAGTAGAGGAGGCATGAGCTGGGCCTCTGAGCACACCGGGTTTGGGTCCGTGAGAAGAGGAGAGAGGGGAGGCATCCCAGTTAGAGATCTATGGGCTGATGTCAAGACCAGCCTGAGCAGCAGGGAGGCTGTGTGGAAAGAAGCAGATAAAAAAGCGGTTTGGATAAGAAGGTACAGTGCAGCTGATCATGGGCAGTCTTGAAGGTCTGGAAGAGGAATTCTGGAGTAGACTGTCAAGCAATAGGGAGGCACTGAAGGTTCTAGAGAGGTATGGGGATGGGTCAAAGTGAAAACTATTTGCTGCTTTAGAGAAGGCGGGGTTGGGGCGGGGAGCGGGAATCTTGCCGGCCCAGGAGTTTTGTTTTATTCTCCCAGGCCCTTTGCTAGCCCTCAAAAGATGAAGCTGACAGGCATCTGGGCCTGTCTCGCCTCACAGCTTTTGGGAGCTTCTTGGCACAGGGGGGCCTCAGATCCGGATCTGCTGGGCCTGGGATGTCCCGCCAGCCGTCTCCTCAGGAAGACGGCCCCTTAAGGATACCCTGCTTCCTGTCTCTACAGGGAGAACTTCCTGGTCCTAGATGTCTTTTTTGAAGCCCTGACATCCGAGGCCATGGAGCAGCGAGCAGCCTACGGCCTGTCAGCCCTGCTGGGTGAGCCCCAGCCCCGATTCCACGGGGGTAGACCGGACCCGCCTGCCCCCTCTGACCCTGCTCTCATGCTCCCCAGGGGACCTCGGGGGACAGATGGGCTTATTCATCGGAGCCAGTGTGCTCACGCTGCTGGAGATCCTAGACTACATCTATGAGGCAAGGGATGGGGCCCTGGTGGGGGCCACCCAGATGGGGAGGGGCAGGTAGGAGGAGGGGCTGGGGGGAAAGCAGAGGGGCAGTGCAGGCTTCCTGGTGGAGCTGGACTGCCGGAGGTCAAGCTCAGGGTCATTTACCAGCGTCCCCTGACTGGTGGGAAGGCCCGAGCGTGCTGAGGAGTCAGGAGAGGGGGATGGGTGAGGAGGACTGGGGCGTCCTAGGGGGGGTTTGCTGGGCCAGCAAGTCCTGAGGTGGGCCTGGTGGGGCCCATCCTTCTCCTCTAGCGAGTTTCCTGAGCCCACTGCTATCCCCCCACCCCGAACCCCCAGGTGTCCTGGGACCGACTGAGGCGGGCGTGGCGTCGTCCCAAGACCCCCCTCCGGACCGCCACTGGGGGCATCTCCACTTTGGGGCTTCAGGAGCTGAAGGAGCAGGTGAGGGTGAGCGCTGTATACAGCCAGCGTCCTCTCCCAGGACTGAATCCCCCCATAACTTCTGAACTAGCCTGCGGGAGGGGGTTCCTGGGCTCCCCTGAGGCCTCTGCCCCAGGGGACAGGGTAAGGCTGGCTGTGTGAGGCCTGGGGGTACCACGTGAGCTCTCCCTGTCCCACCCGCTCTTCGCCTCGCAGAGTACCTGCCCAAGCCAGGGCCGCGCTGAAGGCGCAGGCACCAGCGGCCTGCTCCCAAACCACCACCCCCCGGGAGGCCTCTTTGAAGACTTCGCTTGCTAGGATGGTTCTGCGTCCAAAAGGACCCAGGAGTCTGGGACTCCAGCCCAGATCCCCACCGTAGCCTCCCGCTCTTAGGACCGAAGTCTTGGGGGCAGCCCAAAGCTGAGGGGAAGAGGGCGGTGCTCACTGGGAGGGTGGGGACTCGGTCCCTGCTCTCACCCACCCTAGTGCCAGCTGCTTTGCACAAGGGTCCCTCTTGTCCACACCCTCCACCCCCAGGCTAGTGCCCAGGGAGGGCTGGGGACCAGGCCATGGGCCCCAGTGGAGGGGAGGAGAAAGGGAGGTGGAAAAAGGGGCCCACCCCAGAGGGGGTGGAACCCTCTGTACATTTGTATATATTTAGGGAGGACAGGGCGGGGGTGGGGATACAGATGTAGCAGGTGGGTGGGGCTATGAGGGTCGGTAATTTAGAGACAGCCGGGGTCCCAGCCCTAGAGTGTCAGCAGGAGAGGGCAGGCCCCCAGGACTCAGGACTGCTGGGCTGGTCCTGCTTCCTGCCCCTCTCCAGGCCCAGCATCCCTTTTGGCAGGGGGAGTGTGTGGTCCAGCAGGCCTGGTCCAGCTCCCAATTCCCTCTGCCCCAACCGCACTCCCAGAGTCCCCTCCACAGGGAGAGGCAGATCCTTCAGAACTTGGCTGAGCTTGGGGGTGGGGAAGGGGGCCTTCTCAGGCCTCTCTGCCTCCAGTCTGGTTTTATAAAGTGCTGACAAAGTTGGGAATAAAGAGGCATAAAGAATTCTCTGTGAGTGTATGTGACTAAGCTGGGAGCTGGGGCGGGGCTGGGCATATGCATGACTTGGTCCCTGGGAAAAGGAAATGCAGGCCCCAGCCAGGACAAGGAGCCTCCGTCCTCAAAGCCCTCCCTGTCCCCATGCCTGCCTTTCAAAAACTCAGGAATCACTAGCCGGGACTTCCTGGTGGTCCAGTGGTTAACATTCTGTGCTCCCAACGCAGGGGGCCTGGGTTCGATGCCTGTTCAGGGAACCAGATCCTACATGCCACAACTAAAAGAGCCCGCACGCCATGACTAAAGTCCCGCATGCCACAATGAAGATACCATGTGCTGCAACTAAGGCCCAGTGCAGCCAAATAAATATTAAAAAAAAAAAAAAAAAAAGAACCACTAGTCCACACTCAGCCAGTTTATTAAAGGCAGGGAGCTTCATCAGGACTGCCGAGAAGTTGGGAGACACCGCCCCTTCTCTCTCAGCTCCCCCGCTTCTCCAACAACTCATCTACAGCCCAGCCCCCCAGGGGACCCTAGGAGGTGGGGCTGGCGTCAGGCAGATTGCACTGCATAAATACTCGGAGGCCACAGCCTGAATCAGCAGCGTCAAGAGGGCAGGGAGACCGGGTTTGGGGCAGAAAGGGGTGGCTCCCAGGGTACCTCTTCCAGGGCTTGCTCTAAGCCCAAGGGTCCCCCAAGCCAGAGAGAGGGGGCCAGCGGGCTGCCCTGGGGTCTGAGGCTGCGGCCAGCCCTGTCCTGCGAGGCTGGCAGGTGGCTCCGGGTGGCTGGGGAAGAGCGGGGCGGGGCACCGCCTTGCCAGGGTTCAGGGGCGCAGGGCGGGGTCAGGTGCTGTTGCCCTGCTCCTGCTCGAACAGCAGCATGGCCAGCTGGGTGCGGGAGCCGAGGCCCTCGAGCGCACTCTGGCGGCAGCGGTGGTACAGGTCCTCGCTAAGCCGCGCGCTGCATGTCTGGACCCGATAGCGCTGCAGCAGCGCGGGCTCCACCGCCCGCAGCACGTGCAGGCTGGAGAAGCGCAGGAACAACTCATACACATCCAGGCTCTCCAGCAGCTCCTCCTCCTGTTCCGAGGCCGCCGCCAGCCGCGCTCGGGCCGCCACGTAGTCGGAGTTGTAGAAGCAGGCCTCATTGGCCACCTGGCGATCAAAGCGGCCTGTGTCTCGGCCTAATTCAGGGGGTCCCGGGCCCTGGGGTGGGGCCACGGCCGGGTGGAAGGCCTGGAAGTGCATGGGAAAGAAAGCTTGCCAGCCAGAGATGGCATGCATGCGGCAGCGGTTCAGGAAGTCGGGGGTGAGCACCGTGTCTGGCCCGGCCAGCAGGAACAGCGTGTCCAGTGGGTGCTTCTTGGAGAGCAGATCCATGAGGCGCAGCGGTGAGGGTGTGGCTGTCTGCACGCTGAGCCAGGGCACCCGGGCACCGGGGAAACGCCGCTCCAGCTCTGCCACACGGGCCTTGACAGGTGCAAAGACATCGGCGTGGGCCGCCCGCTGGGCCTGTCGTGGCTCATACAGTAGCAGCAGGGTCAGGGTTGCTGCAGAATCGCCAGGCTCCAGTGCGGCCACGGCGAAGGCCTCCAGGAAGCCAGGGGCCAGGTCACACTCGGCTGCAGCCAGTGGCAGTAACACGGTGAGACGCGAGGCCTCGGTGACATAGGGCACGGGCAAGATCTCCACGCGACTCAGTGGCCGTAGCAGCTGCACTCGGCGGGTGAGGGGCCGGCGGCCACCCTGCGGGGTCAATGCCTCCAGCTGCAAGTCCAGCGTGTACTCCATACCCCGGGCAGGATCGAAGCGTCGGTAGCCATTAACCAGCTGCTGCTTCTGGAGCCGCAGGGCTGGGTGGTACCGGCGGTTGAGCTCCTCCAGGGCTGCCCCCAGAACGTCGGCCACATCAGCCTGGTCAGCCCCACGCAGTGGGCAGCGGGGCGAGCCATCAGCGCAGGAGAAAGCATGCTGTTCTGTGAAATAGTCCCAGCGCAGCACCTCAAAGCGGGAGGCCGGGCGGGACGGTGCTGGAATGCCCACGGGCCAGGTGGCTGCCCACTCCCCATCCGCTGCCAGACGGCTGGTGTTCTGGATCTCCCACTGGGTTGGAGGAACAGGCCATGAGCGAGGCATAGACCACAGGGGCCAGCACACAGCTGGGGGGCTGGGCAGGCAGAAGGTGCCACTCAGGACAGGTTCCCAGTCCCTTGCCAACCTCTGCCCGCCCAGGGCCCCCCCTTATTCTTTCCCCAGATGGAGGCAGCCTAAGAGTTAAACGGGGGTCTCTGGAGAGGCTCCAGAGAAAAGGTAGAAGCAGACAGGGACTGGGAAGCAGGTTTGTTCTGTGATTCTTGTGCTAATTTTGTATTTCCCTGGGATCTCTGAGACCTCTCGGGATGCCCTCACCCCCCCACCTCCAGCCTAGACCATACCTGTAACTCCTGGATCTCCTGGTATGTGCGTTCCAGTTCAGCTCGGGCAAAAGCCTTGTGCAGCTGGTACATGTGTACAGGGTCACGGACAGGGTGAGCTGTCAGGGCACTGCGGAAACGAGGGTCCCCCTCCTGCACGGGCTCCCCAGGGCTCAGCTCCAGGTAGCTATAATGGACTCCCTGGGGAGAGGAAGGGAAGTGGGAAACATGAGGGGACAGTCGCCCCCCCCGACCCCACCCCACCCCATAGTTTGTGTCTCATCCCTCTATCCTATGACCTGCTGTGGACTTGGGGTCAGAATTCTGTGGGCTTCAGTCTACCGTGACCAGTTGTGAGCTTGTGTGACCTTGAGCAAGCCTCTGCTAGCTCATCTGTGAAACGGGCATGCATCCTATCTCAGAGCTGTCCAGGGGCTCAAATAAAATAATAATGGCCAACACCAAACACCTACTGTGTGCAAGCCTCCCTTATTGTTTCTAATCCTTATAACAACCCTGAGAAAAAATTATTTCCATTGGTATGGATGAGGAAACCGAGGCTCAGGAGATTCAGTAATTTACCCAAGGTCACAGGGATAGAAGATGACAGAACTGCATGGAAACCCAGGCCCATATCTCCAACCACCCCCTCTGCCTCTCAGGGAGAAGTGCACACGTCCAGACAAGAGGCACCAGTGGGGTGGCTTATCTTCCTACCTCGTGGCCGCCAGTGCAGCCCACCCCGGTGGCATCGAGGATGCAGCGGCCCAGCCACTCATCCGGGTGCGCACTGACGATGTCGTTGCGGCAGGCTTCCAGGTGGGGGCGCAGCTGCTGCAGCAGCGTGCGTGACAGCAGCACCCCAAAGCCACCGTGGCAGTAGCGGCCTGGGGCGGGCTCTCCACTGATGAAGTCCTGGGGCCGGCCCAGATAGAGGTGGGCAGCGGCTGCCAGGCTGAGGTGGCCAGCTAGGCGAGCCAGTCCGTGCGCCTCCGTGTAGGTGGCATCGGGCACTAGGAAGAACCAGTCAAAGTCGTTGCCGTGCTGCTCCAGCAGGTGGCGCAGTGCCAGGTGCAGGTGCCCAATGGGCCGCTCCTCGCCTAGCGTCACCACGGCCATCCCCGATGGTGCCCGGCGGCCCCGCGAGCCTGTCAGGAACACCACACGCTCTAGCCGGTGCCCCAGCGTGCGGTTCACAGCCACGCCCAGTGTGGGCAACGTGGCCTGTGAGGTCAGCACCGCCACGAGCAGCCTCTGCCTGATGCCCAGCTCTGTGCTGATGTAGCGGGTCCTGGGGGTGGGGGAAGAAGATGGCACAAGGTTACTAAAAAGACAACAGGGCAGGTAGAGGGCAGCATACACAGGTTCCGGCAGGTCATGTCCTCTTTGGGCCTGTTTCATTTAAGATAGAATAACAACTCTCCCCCAGGGATCACGAGCATTTAAGTGAAATACTGGCCTTACCATAGTGCTTTTGGGAGATGGCATTATCCATGCAGATATGAGAGATATATTTGGGGTCTGATTCCCTGTTTCATTACTTAGTGGTTGAGTCCTTGAGCAAGTTATTAAACCCATCCGAGTCTTGGGTAGCCTCATCTGTAAAATGGGGCTGATTGTATCTCTTTAAAGCACTTAGCCAAATGCTTGGCATATAGGTGCTCCACACATCATGTATACACTAATTTCTAAATAATATGCCATTATACCACAAATACATCACATAAATGATGTAACAGAATAAACGGCATAGAGATGTAGTGAATGTGTTTGGGGGGGGTCAGGGGTTGCAGTAACTTACCCTCCGTAACACAGAAGGTAAGTTGCAGAACTGGAATTTGAACTCGGTGTTACTTCGGAGAAATTATTTCAACTCAAAGGCAGAGAGGCATTAATGGAATGGGTACATCACCCTTTTCCCACAAACCTCCGCCCCCCCCCCCCAGGTGCCCACCCAGGAACAAGAGATACAGGTAATCCTAGTTCTCTCTTTTCTCTTTCCCTCTCTCTGTGCACCCACTCTATATACTAGTCATTTCTCTAAACCTAACACTGAGCCAGGGAGCTATGAGGACCTTTGGCGGGGGGGGTCCATGGGGTCAAGCAGGTTTAGGGCAGAGGCGGGCAAGTTCTGCCCGGGCCTGGATGGGGCCCAAAGAGGCCTCAGATGGGCTCCAAACCTCCCTGGGAAGCAGGGCCGTCG